GTGCCCACGAGAGTAACTGAACCAAGACGAACCCCCAACAAAACTTCTCAAGTTTCTTCTCGAAAAACGCAACTTCTACGGGTAAATCAACTGCCAAGGCATAGCACGTGATACCCAAATGCACGATGAATCTCATCCAACAGTACGGAAGCCAATCAGCGCATCCAGTTCCACTAAGGAACCCATGTCGCCAGCATCTCACTGTGCCAGCCTGATCTTGATTCTTACCAAACCCCTCGTTTGCAGCCTGAAAGCAGACCGCTGTTTTTCAGTTCAGCATATTCCTTTTCATCGCCGCTGTTTGAGCGCAATGTCACTCTCATTCTATTCCAGTCTAATGACTGCAGATGGTGATGCACCAAACCACGACGAACAGCCGCAATTCACAGCGCTGAATCTCTTCGCAGCCCTCGCAACGAACCATCTCAAGTATTACACGCCCTGGCAGCTCAATGTACACCATTTTAATGACAAGGTCGAACTGGCGGGCAAAGGCGGCTCTGCGGTCGTCGAAATAGGACAGCTGAGAAAATTTCGAGTAAAGCGCGAGGCCAACAACCAGCAGTTCGTCGCTGTGAAGCGTAGCCGAGCACTTGCTGCGGCAGCGGGAAGTCTAGATGAGAAAGTCATCCTGCGGCATTTTGAGCAGCTCACCATGGAGATCCGAATCATGGGCAACTCCACGCTGCGTAAACACGCCAACATCGTCGATATTCTTGGCGTTTGCGTTGACGTGATCAACGCGATACCTAGCCTTGCCCTTGTCTTGGAACATTCAGACTTAGGCTCACTCGACCTGTTTCTCGTCACTGGCGATGGAAAAGGCACAACTGAGTTGGAGAGAGTTGATATGGCTTTACAAGTTGCCGAAGGCCTCACCGCGTTGCATGGATTGGGGATCTGTCATGCCGACGTGAAAACACAGAACGCGTTGGTGTTCCAGAAAAGCAACCATGATTCATGGCTTATCAAGATCTCTGACTTTGGCAATTCTGTCATCGGAGTCCACGGGAATGCGCGCGCCCGAGTTCGGTGCCACATTGGGACGAGATTGTTGAACGCACCCGAGATCAGGAACGGTTCCGCGCTTCGAGACCCCCTTTTCAGCATTGAAGATGCGCTGCGGACAGACGTGTTCTCGTTTGGTCTGCTTGTATGGGAGGTCCTAAAGTGTGGACAGAGCTTCCTAGATTCTGCCTGGATTGGGAACGCAGCGGGAGCGTCAAGTATTGACGAGATTGAAGACGTGTTGAACACCCTAAACCACAACGCGCTGCGTGATAGTGCTGTCAATTTCCTCAATGGATTGGAATTGGGCGATGAATTGCGTGCCCGTCTGAGCCGCATTTTTCGTGGTGCACTAGACGACAATCCATCGGATAGAGTAACAATGGTAACGCTGCGTGACCTCTTGAGGGAGGAGAGGGAATTAGAACCGTAAGCAAAACCTCTTGAGTCTTATTGAGACTGAGAAGCTAACACTCAAATACTTTAGTTACAAACAGTTTGCCAACTCACTCGATGACCTCCCTGGAGGAATTCCCGCAGATGAGACCAGCCGGGTTGAGGACATCAACAATGAGTTGCTTGGGCTAGAGCCCTTGTATGAAGACAGTATGGGAACTTGGACAGCGCAACATTCTCTTTACGAGGTTCGTTCAATTTCGTCCGACCAATTTTGATGTCGCTGGCTAAAAGCGGAACAAGCTGCTCTCTCACTGTGGATTTGACGGGAACAGAATCATCCAAGAAATGCCAACTACAATCAAAAAGCAAATCCTCGAGGAGCTGGAGATTGTCGCCAGTGCAACGTCGGTGCCGAACAATATTCGTGCTGGCGCTGCCATGACATTGTCGGAATGCTATACTATTGGCTTTGGTAGTAATCTGGACAACGACAAAGCTGTCCGCTGGTTACGCACCTCTGCATCTCTTGGATCGACGAAAGCAGCTCTATGGTACCATCGTATCTGTTGCGCGACGGGTATCAACCCAGCTACAAGCGAGTTGGTATCAGACATTGGCCAGGACTTGGAGCAGCAGCTTTCTTCTCTGCCTTCGGTGCTCTATCTCGCAGAGAGAATCCGACGTCTCAATTTCCAGGTGCAAGAAAGCGCCAAGAAGGTTACCCTCATTGCCAAACTTACACCATCGCCAGCGGCACATCTGGAAGATGCTGTGTTCAAGCTATCCATATTCAATCCGGATGAGGTAGACGACCTTTCGCCGCTACATCTGGCCTGCTGGCTCGGCGATAACGAGTTGGTGAGCGAACTTATAAAGCGTGGCAATCCTGGCCTCAAATCAACTCTTGGCCTTGACGCAGTGCACTTTGCCTGCCTGGGCGGTCACATCTCAACCTTACGGCTTCTTGTTGAACAGCATAAACTGTCCTTAATTCAGGCGGGGATTCACGGTATCACATCACTACACTTGGCTATATTCTTCCCTAGGAAGGATCTAGTTTCTGTTGTAGATCTCATCTTGACACACGCCGCCTCTCTCATCACTTCAACAACGAGCGACATCAAATGGGAAGCTCACGACCTAGTAGTCACAGGCACGCCACTATCATGGGCAACCATAACAAGGAACCAAGATTTGGTCCAGCTTTTGATCCCACATGATCATCAATCCAAGCTGCATTGTCTTCATCACGGAGCTCGGGGCTTTTTTTGGGAGATTGTGGAAATAGTTGCCCCTCTCATTCCCAAAGATCTTGATGCTGATGAGCGCGACCTTATCCAATTGAGTACCATTGAAAAACCCTTCTCTCATTGGATCGCACATGGAAAAGACCATGCCCAGGGTATTGAAAAAACAATTCAAGTTTACGACAGACACGGATGGATAGGATTTCGCATCTATGAATGGTCGCACCTGTTGGACATTGTTTACGAGGCCAGATGCTTTGCTGATCTACATCTTGTCAATGCCATCCTCGATGTTTCATCCGGAACATATGTGAAGCAGTGCTGTTTGACCGGACCACCCTTCAGTAATCCTGTTTTATTGGCGGCTTTGCAGATGAGCGGGCAAGATACCGCTTGGTATGACACGATTTGTAAGATAGTCGACTTCTACACCATCGAAGAACTGGAGCGTGAGTACGGCCCGCATGAATTCTTCTTGAACGAAGCAATTGCGGAAGGCTCGCTCGTTGGGGTCAGAGCACTACTTGAAAGAGGAGTCAACATCTACAGCCCGTCTATGCGCGGGAGCTACGCATACACGCCAATCCATCAATGCATCCATAGGGACGCATCCATTGAAATGTTCGAACTGTTGATAGAATTCGGGGCAAGTCTGCAAGAAATGGACCCCATTCTTGGTCGAACTGCCCTTCAGTCACTATTGCTGAGACGGCGTCAGAGACCGCTGCTAAACGTATTGCTCAGACATGAGCATGAGGATCAAGTCCTCATCAACGCCTTACATTCGACCTTACGACAACACTTCTCCGATTTCAGAGGGGAAAGAGATGGTCGTCGATATTGGAGCGAAAACCTACGCTATGCGCTTACCCATCCCCGCCTTATGAGGCATATCAACTCAGCCGACGGAGACGGTTGCACGATGGTCCAGCGAGCTTCTTGGAGCTTGCACCTTGAAACCACCCGCCTTTTACTGAACGCCCAGGCCGATGCCAGTATCCCATTCATTGCCGGTGATTCTCAAGCACTGCCCTTGCAGCTCGCGTGTACGCAAGGCCGACACATCAACGTCGTCCATACCATAGGTCCGGAAGTCGACTTTTTGAATGCGGAATCGCAAGCGTACCTCATTCGCAAGAGACGACAGCAGGTAGGCCGTGAAAGACTCAAACAAGCCTTGCAAGTGGCCAAAGAACTCCTGCAATGGCATCATGCTAGGGGAGACGGGCTATTCTCCGGCATTACTGAACTACATCTGGCCTATAGAATGAAGCTGACGACTGAGATCAGTGAGTTACTGCGTGCGGGGATGGACCCGGATCAGAAAGGCCGCTGGCCTGGTTGTGAGGACGATTTAACCGCCCAGGATCTTGGAAAACAATACTTACTGGTAGAAAACGAAGTCGACCAGGCATTCTCAGCACTACAAGGCCTCATCCTACCAGAGGGCTCGGAGCTTCCGCCAGATATGAGGCAGCGCAGTGACTCGGCATCGACAGGGTCGGAAGATATTTGAAGTTGCCAGTGCAGACATTTCTTTGACGGGTTAGATGGAGAGGTTTATCAATATCTGTTCTAATTTGGGAGCCCGACTCTATTGATTATTGTATGCAACTTTCTTTGCCGAGTTCTGGGAAATTCTTTGATGTACCAAATCTCACGAGTTTGGAGTGTAGGGGTCTCGACGCAGATACTTTTTCTCAACTAATTCCGTATGCTCAGCATTGGTGCGTACAGAAATTAGCTTAAAGGTGTCTCTAGAGTGTGCAGAGGCGATGCGAAATTCCCCCAGCGGCGCGCGATACCCTGGTTTCACCACCCAGACAACCTCTCCAACTTCGTAAGGGAACTTCGAGGAACCTAGCCGAAGACCGGAGAGTTGAGATCAACTTCGAATTGACATACTGCTGCTGTCTTTGCATACTTGGCGACATACGCCCTTCCATCGTTATCTGCCGCTGCTTGAAGTACAACCTGTGGTGCAGATGGGTGTCAATGAAATATCAAGTGCATTGACAGGCATTTTCTGACGTTCTCTTCGGAATTTTCAGGCAGTTCATCATACTTCTGTTCTTCGACAGCTTCGTGCTTAGTGTGACTGTCCGTCATCATGTCGACGTGGCTAGATTTGCTTTACACGTGTACTGCGAAGAAGAACCAAAGACGAACGAGGCCTACTTCGCTGACTGTTTATCTGGCAACTGCGAATCAACATGCATTGCTGCATGAACGAAGTCAGGCGCCTGCATCTCTGCGTATTTGTTTGACCATATCGTACATAGTGGTTGCCTTCATGCAGAACGGATCCCTACCAGACGACAGAACTCTGACACGATCCCTCTAAAGTAGAGGACTACAGGCAAGGCTATCCTCGTCTCGGGGTCTTCTTGATTCTTCCAAAGACTTCACATTTCTCAGACGCCTCGACTACGTCCACATGCGAAACCTTCTAGAGCAGCAAGATAGGCTTGCTGAGCTCGAAGGTCTATTAAACCAATGCGACGACAACGAAGACATCCAACTCAACCTGAGCAGCCAGCGTAATGATTCAAATCAGTCACGTCGAGCGGTATTGGAGCGCATCAAAGTAGCTCTAGTTGAATACGGTTCGTCTTTAATCAATGTCTTGAGATGAACTCGAGCGTCGCCCCTACCACATCCGTCTTGTTCTTCCTACCGAGATTGAGTGTGTGGGGATGCCCCGATCTGACGTGTATGGCCTATTCGCGGTTCATTTAGATCGAGCTGTCTTGGACTTTAATCAAATGAGATGTCTCTCGCCCGCAAAACAAAAAGACCATCAGAGTATCTGAAACTGGGTTGACGGCCACAAGCCGCTGGTCAGATCAGAGAGTGCATGCTTTCTTAACCTAGACACGTCGGCAGATGAAGACTTCATCGCTTTAGGACCCAGGACGCCGATCGGGCCATCCCCGGGGCTCTACTGGAGCTCCTCGTCAGGAAATACCCTAGTCTCGGAAAGTTTGTATGTTCTGTGCCTCATTTGAGCGCATGGCCCTTCACGATTTGCGAACACAAAATATCGCCCCAGGAAACATGAACGGATCTTTGCATAAGTTTTGCTAACTGCCGATTTTAGAATCAAGCTTTGCTGCAGCCAGGTAAGATTTGGATCATTTTGGCGATACAGACGTTGAATTGACTGACTCTAATGCTTTTGTATGACAGGAGAAAACCGAAGATGACGGTAGCCATCTGTTCAATCCGGGCATCTTTAAGATGGTTGTCCGGTACACGACGACAATCATGGTCCCGGCCTGGCTTATTCTCCCTGTGGTGCTTCTCACGAACACAACCGGAGACTCCACAGCTATATAAGGTACTTCGTCTTCACTATTGCCACGTCACTTCTCGTGGCACTAACTACGAATTCATAGAAATACAACCTTTTCTAGCCTTGTTGACGTAGGTGGTTATGCATTTTCTACGACTGCATCATCATTGAGGGATCAGATACTGATAAATAAAAAAACATCAGGTTCGCCGCAATACCGACCTCGTTTCTAGCGAATGTCAATGCATCTGAGTACGAGACATACGGCATAGCTTGACTCTTAGGGGCATCGTATGATACTTAGGCAGATTACAAAACAGCCACTTGAATTGCAGGTCTGTTAGATCATTGCCATAGATGAAATTGAAGTATTCAGGCACGAGAACTGACATTGTCTAATAATATCCGATTCGAGTTAAACATGACGTTTAATATTTGGCTTTAGCAAGTTTCGGTAAATTGATTGCCTCATGAAAGGATATGACACACAACGATGTTTCATCATTCAAGACGCTAACGCCTCGTAAGCCGCTTTGAGCGGCCGTAGTACCTTCTGTCTCATAGAGTCGTGGACCTCCCAATTCTCATAATTTGTCCACTCGCCGGGATCTAGACACGACCTTACCGCATCCGCATATCGGCTCCCTGTCGCATGTGCAAGTCTGGGCATTGCGCTGGTCAAGAGAAACTTGCGCAGACGTTCCGGATCTTTCACCGATGCAAAGCCCTTCTGTGCGCTGTCCATACTTGGCAGTGTCCTCCACATTCCAATTTCCATCAGAACGATGCCCTAAAGCGAGGCTGTTAGCCAGAAGACGCAAATGTCCTACACAAGTGCCTACCAATGCATAAATATCATGCTGTCTTGTGAAGCGCAACGGTCGGCCCCATCGGTCTGGATGCCTATATATGTTTGCGTCAACATCGAAGTCAACCGTCCCTCTTGTTTCGGCCTCTTCCGGCCTGGAGCAGTCGAACCCGATCAGATAAGGTCTCTCAAAGTCGTATACAGGTTCTGTTCTACCCTCTGTACGATTGTTGACACTTTTTTGGTCGTTGCTGGAGAAAATAAGCACATTGTCGCTCTTCATGTTTTTATGGAACCAGCCTATGGAATGGAGTTGCAGAAGTGCCTCGCATATATCATGGGCCAGGCGGTATCGTGTCTCAAGTGGAACTTTGACCTTGCCGAGGATACCGGACAAGAGGAACGGTTTCCAGCCAATCTTGTCGTTGGGAACTTTGAAGATAAATCCGAATCTGGGGCCGTACAGGCTGTCATGAAGGTAGCCTATCCCGGGTAGGGTTCTGAACGAAGGGTCCTTGGGCTCGACGTGAAGAGCCGATATCTTGGCCACTTGTTGTGACAGCCTCTGATGTGTCTGCTCGTCTATATCCTCGTAGTAAATATATTCAACGAGAACGGAGTCACCGCTATGATGACCCATTCGGAGACGTTGGCGGGGCGTAGCCTGGCTATCAAAGTCCACTCGTGTTTGGTCCGGTGACGCTTCTTCTGTGAGTAGAGTGAGACGCATTGCAATTCGATGCCTCAAGTCTTGGGCTGCTTTAGAAGCCATCTTTCTCAATGTGCGAAGTGATGGAGTGTCAAGGCTTGATATGCAGTCGTCAAGAAAAGAGGCCAGGCTGTCCGTTTGCTGCTTAATGTTCGTAATAAGTTCCACGGCCTCCAAATCGCCTAAGGCGTTCTGGCCTGACGCTAGAAACGAGCCTTCCAACTCTTGCAATAGTTTAGTGGCCTGCTTCTGGCTCTTAGTCGATAAAAAGGGTAAAAGCACCGCGTTCTCCTTCTCTCCGACCTCGCCACCGATCAAGCTTTGACCGAGATCATTCACAGCGTTGGCTCGGGCCAAGATTTTGTCAACGAGCTCAATGTCCTTGATAGACGACGGGGCATCTCTTGTCATCCACCTCAAGAACGATCGAGTGCTCTTTGGGTCCAGTGGATGGAAGAGTCTCAGGCGTAAATTCATAACTCCCGTTGCCGATGCATCAATGGAGTCCATCGGGGTAGGTAAAGAACTCGTGTTTTGGCCGGCGGGATACCACTTCGTAAGAATGATAGGACTAGACGACGTCTCTGGTGTCATGGAAACATAGAAAGGTTGCTTCACAAGACCCGCTCTGATATCTAGCATTCGCCGATGAATCTCTGGGATGGTAACTGTGCCACTTCGATCGAGCATATCCGCCATGCTATCCAGGAGGACACGAGTAAATGAAGGCCATCTTCCTTTGCCTGTGGGCGTCAATTGATCTTTATCTGTTGCCGCCAGGAACTCGACGGTGTGGGACACTCTGTTTCTCACAGCCTGTCCAGCGTGGCAGCAGTCCAAGAGAATGACAACATCGCAACCAGCACCGAGGAATTGAGGCTGTATGATGGACCAGTCCACTTCTGGACCTCCCGAGGGAAGGCTACCACGAGATCGTACAGCAAATCAGCATGTTATCCGGAGTGGCGCACGACCGTAAATGCTTTCAAAGGGAGGGGAAAGGCAACTCACGCTGCCCAGATGCACGCAGAGTCTTTCGGGCCTGACGGACCTCCGTGACCTCCATAATACACAATGATGAGCTTATCCTGGCCGCCAAAGTGCTCAATGAATTGAGCTACATGTAAATTCAGAAGGCGGTGGGTATCTGCCGAGGGAATATCGAACCGACGGACAGCATAGTTGAATTTGGTGCGGAACATTTCGGCCACTTCAACCGTCTCCTGCGTGAAGTACTCATCTCCCCCTTCCCAGGAGAGTAGCAGAACATTGACGTCTAAGTATCTCTGCGCTCGACGTGGCCGATAGTCTTCCAACTCTTTTGCTAGGTCCTGCTCGTGATCCGCCATCGGTCCAGAAGGCTGGGATGTCTCGAAAGCCATAACGTCTGTTGAAGCTGTGAGTAATACCGCGTTCAGGCGTTGATCTAGAACAGAGGGACTGGTATCGCCTGTGGCTTCGCGTTATGTAGCAAGTGTGACGATAGGGTTATCCCGCCGACTTACGGTCAGCAGACAGATAACCATAGGCGGGGTAGCCATATTATCTATCTCCTTATTGGGGCATAAAAATGGGTAGATGCGCTTACAGCGAGTCGGCGCCCAATACAATGCTCGGTAGCTAGTAGTTAAGCGAAGGAGTGAAAGGTTGGTTGATAGGTCTGCTGTAAGCTTGATGAGGGTACCAACACGATGCAGTCCAGGGAGCTGGAGAGCAGAAACTTTGCATCAGCTCTCGACGATGAAGCGGTTAACAACTCTACTCTCGAAGTGTATCTACAGCATAGGTTCTTATGGCTGTAACAAGGATACCCTAGTAGACTAGCTCTTGATATTGTTTGAACATGGCCCGGCTTTCGACAAAAGCTGTGCGGCTGCATGTTGGATCAGGCTCCCCACCCAGCCTTGGGTCGTCTCCCTACCTTGGTACCAGAACCAGACCTCTGAAGGTACCAGGTTGCAATCAACATGTTTCCATGTATTATTCGCCGGATTAACGATGACTTGGCTGTGTATCCAACACCAATAGCTTGTCTGGCACAGGAAGTATACAGCCCGACGATTCTAGGGAATGAACGGTGACTGATCGCGAGAAAATCGCGGTGTTGCTGACCGGGCATCAAACATGGGCAATGAGCCTACTTGAGAGTCTCATTGCCCGAAAACATCGCAGCAAAGAAATACTGCAGCCTGACAACTGTTTTCATAACCTCACATGAAGTCGACTAAGACACTCCTCGAGTCTAAATGCAAGCAGCTTCGCACAGTGTCGAGACAGATGACGTCGGTGGTCTGGACCGCGATCGCTAGAAAAATACAGCGGACAGGGGCCTGCATGTCTCCACTGAACAGCCCCAGACACAGTGAGATCATTGGGCAAGCGTCACTGTACCCATCTGGACCCCTTTTCCAGACATCCAGCGTCGAATGTCGAAGGAGCTCCTGGTTTCAACTTTTTTTCCTCTCTTCCTCTTCCCAGAAAACAACTCGACACCAGAACCCACGAAAAAGGGGGACCGTCACAACCACAGCTGCAGAGTCGCCGCCGACCTCTGCTGATGCTGCCAGCCACATGTCCCTCGTGGCCATCCTCCGCCATGGCCTCCGCCTGATCATCCCGCTGGCGGTAGTCTCGACCCTCTATCTCTATCTCTATCCCGTCTTCCTTGGCTGCGCGTTCCCAGTCGCCCCGAGTACCACCAGCAGCAGCAACGACGTCGAGCTCGACAGCAAGGCTGCCTTCATCGAAGCTGCGCGACACCACCTCCCTTTGCCGATCCCCCTCCGATCGACAGACTCCCGACCCGCTCCTTTCAGACTCCTTGCGCTGGGCGACCCCCAACTCGAGGGTGACACCGCCATCCGAAGGATTCCCGGCCCTGCCTTCCCTCACGCGAGGAGCTGGTGGTCCCAAGTGACCTTCAAGGCACCAAACTCGCTGCGGCAGCGCGTCCGCCAGTCGCTACACGATGTAATCGACATCTTTCTCGAGGACGTCTTCAACGAGCTCGAGTCCCTCCGCAAGCGGATAGACATATTCGGCAACGACTTCTACCTTGCCCACATCTACCGAACCGTACAATGGTGGACTCGCCCTACCCACGTCACTGTGCTTGGCGACCTCCTGGGTAGCCAATGGATTGGCATTGAAGAATTCCGGAGCCGTGGCCGCAGGTACTGGGACCGCGTTATGCGAGGCACCGAGCGTGTCCCGGACGATGTAGCTGCGTACCCGTCTATGGAGTATGAGCTCGCCGACTACCTCTCCCCATCTGGCGAGCCGTCTCCGGTATGGTCGCGTCGTGTCATCAACGTCGCTGGCAACCACGACATTGGCTATGCCGGCGACATCAACCAGGACCGCTTTGGACGTTTCGAACGCCTGTTTGGCAAGGCAAACTACGAATTGCGCTTCGAGCTTCCTATCGAAGACCCGAACCTCAATGCTACTGTGGTGGACGACGAGAAAAACCCCGACTCCGACCGGCTACCTCCCGAGATCCGCGTGATCGTCTTGAACGACATGAACTTGGACACCCCTGCGAAGGACACCTCGCTGCAGGATCAAACCTACGCCTTCATCAACTCCATCATTGAGACCTCGGCAGCTGTCGAATACAACGGCCACTTCACCGTGATCTTGACCCACATCCCGCTGTACAAGCCCGAAGGCGTCTGCGTTGACTCGCCCTTCTTCGATTTCCACGGCGAGCACGACGGTGGGGGTGTCAAGGAGCAGAATCTACTTTCCTACGACGCTAGCAAGGGCTTTTTGGAGGGCCTCCTTGGCATGAGCGGCAACCCTGATGCCCCCGGTAACGGGAGAGGTCGTCGGGGCGTTATCCTTAACGGCCACGATCACGAGGGTTGTGACACGTACCACTACATCAATCAGACGCAAGGCGAGCTCAGCGACAGAAGGTGGGAGGTTGAGCGCTGGCCGACCGCCAAGGGCCGGGGAGCTGTCGGGGCCCCTGGTGCGCCGGGACTGAGAGAGATCACGGTCAGGAGCATGATGGGCGACTTCGGCGGTAATGCGGGACTCCTCAGCGCTTGGTTTGACGAGGAGACTTGGAGTTGGAAGTTTGAATACGCGACGTGCGCCTTGGGTACGCAGCACTTTTGGTGGTTCGTCCACAGCTTGGATTTTGCGGCGATTGTTGGCATCGTCGCCTACATCGTTCTGCTCGTCACGGAGGCGAACAAGCCGCAAGCACCACCGGCCAAGTTGAACGGATCTGCAAAATCGAACGGCACTGTTCCGAATGGCGTGGTGCACTCCAACGGCGAAGCGAAGAAACCGATAGAGAACGGGGAGGCCAAATCATCGTAGTCATTCGTGTTGCTCAAATACCCGGCAGGGCAACGCCTGTCTCATATTTTTAGTAAAGCACCTCATTTTGTCACATTGTTCACGCCTGCGTTGCAATTCGCCTTTGGCATGTTTCCCTCAAACCACATTCCTTAGCCGTTGTCCACAAAAATCATGCCATCATATGTTACCAGCGTTCTACACAAGTCAGCGTACCTGCCTCCGAAGACTTGTGCCTCGTAGCATCGTTCTAGAGCTCCTGTCTTCGGTAGCCGAGCTCTGGCTATCTTGTGCACCCAGGATCTCGCCGTTTTGATGCAGCACCGCAGCCTTCGTTGTATCGGTCAGCCTCGTCGCATGCTAGAACCTCTCACCGCTGATGAGGTGAGGAAGCAACGTTCAAAAGTCCTGTGTGCGCATTTGTGGCTCGCAAGCACATGTGAGGGGTAACGATTCTCAGCTGAATGTTTTCCAAATGACCCAGCGTGCCTGGCCAACCGCGGCAAGGTCTCGACGCTCCCGCCATGTCTCGACACCGGCCATGTGCTCCCCGTACCACTCTGTGAGAGCCCGTGGACTACTGCGCCACGGCCGGTAAGCCTCCGCTGCCGAGCAGGGAGGCTGGAGATGTGTGCATGTGTGTGCAATATCACCTCATGCCAGCCGGATATTTGCTTCACGGACCTGGCCCCCGGTTCAACGCGCCTCTTGTCACGTCGCACGAGCGAAGTCTTCTGCGGTACGAGCTGCAAGTAGAACATGCACATCTGGCGTGCGCCTCTCTCTCCCTTACCGGTTGCCCTGTATACCGGGCCCAGAGCTCGCGTCTATAAGTCGTCTGTCATGCATGCAGTTGCTACCCCGCCATGTGTTTGTCCACTGCATTGTGCGCCCCGTACGACGCTGCCGCGCGCCACAGGACAGCTGCGCTATCGAAATCTTGTCGCCGTCTGTCATCTGCTCTTCACGCCGGTCAGATCGAGACCAGGGTGGGGTGGGTTGATATCGCCGAGGTCGTCAACGTTGGGCCGTCACGAGGTCTTGGAAGAGAGGCTTCTGCTGCTGGTGGCCGCTGAAGGCTGAAGCAAACAGCGGACAGGTGATGAGGCGGTGACAGGTGAGAGAGGAACTAGGGATCCTTTTCTATCTCGGCGATAATCCAGGCTGAGTGAGATTCAGGCTCGACATCTGCTTTTCAGCCTCACAGAAAGAGTATATAAACTGAAGAAAGATCCGTATTGAGATGGGAGATTCAGTCAAGACATCCAGACACATTACAAGACGAACTACAGCATACACTGTCACTTCAACGCTTCTCATCCCAAAGACGCCCAATTCATTTCTGATATACCTTCAGCCTCGAGAATATCTCAACACCATCAACATGCAGATCTCCCACCTCACCATCTTCGCCGTCCTCGCCGGCCTTGGCCTTGCCGCGCCAACTACAAAGGCCGACACCAGAGCCGCGCAGGAGTTTGACCCCCTCATGGCCGCGGGGAAGCTCTTGCCCCGGCAAATCACTTCTGAGTGGTGCACGAAATCCTGCGACTGCGACAAGGTCCCGAAAGAAGAGTGAGTTCGGGCTACATCATATGAAAGAACTTTGACGCTGACCTGGATATCAGGAAATTCCAATGCTATTCGAATGCCAATTGCGAGGAGTGCAGACGTCAGGGACTTTACCCACCCAAGGAGGACTCAAGAAACTAGGCTGCAAGCGTGGGTGGGATAAGCTCAGGTGTCAGGTTGGTGATGGTTGGGGAATTAACGTTGTCTTTGAGGGAATCATTTTGCGTCGAGATACCAGATACCAGAGAATCGCTGATGGTTAGGAGTAAGGATTGGACGACTGCCTCCAGAGGACATGAGATGAACCAGACAAACTGGCGTCGGGCATGCTTTTCTTCGTCATGTCCAATATCAGATACACTCGCTTCAGAAGGTTCAGTGCATCACGACCGAAAACTGTGTTGGAGAACTCAATATCTTCAGATAGATACACCAAGCTGGCTAAACCAGCTTCTCCAAGGTGGCCTAGAGGTAAGGGTAGTATACAGAGATTCGTACATGCGCAGACCCACGCGTCGTCAAGTCTATATGCAAGTTGTGGCGCCTCTCCATCGCCGGAACCCGCCCCGATAATACAAGTACAAGTAATTTTGGTAAGAGGAGAGAAGAAAGGTGTAGTGTAAAAATGCACAGCTTGTGCTCATTAGCTTTGGTTTGAGCGGAGTGTCCACCCTTTTACTGCTTCTTGTTGGGGTCGTCACTCTTCACGAACCAGCCGCCGAAAGAGCCCATCATGTTCTGCATGGCCTCCTGCTGCATCTTCTCCTGCATGGCGGCCTCCTCCTTCAGCCACTTCTCGCCGTTCTCGCGAATCTCCTTCTCGAGAAGCTCGTAGTTGCGCTGTCCACGCTCACGGGCGATATCCTGGAGCATCTTGCCCTGGGCGAGAGCCTCGTGAGGGTTCTGCTCACCGTCGGGAGAGACCATGAGGCTCATGTTAGAGGGCTTCAGGCCTAGCATACCTCCCAACAAGCTCATGCCAGAGGGAGCCTTCTTCTTCTTGGCCTCGACCTGCTTCTGGAACTCGGCACGAGCGATGGCCTCACGGCGCGCGAACTCGGTGGGAATGTGCTTGCCGTCGAAGGACTTGAGGACCTTGCGAACATCGCCGTATTGCATCGTGTGGATGTACTCGAGGAAAGGGATCAAGCCGACCAATTCCTTGTCTGAAGAGTCGCCCTTCCACTTGGGAAGAACGATGGCATTCTCCGGCTGGTGCTGAACGTGCTTCTCGTTGGTGTCGATAATGATCACTTTGGACAGGTCACGGTTAAGGTAGGAAAGATCCTGAGGTTGAATTAGCCATGGTCGCAGAAACGAACAAGAGAACAAACGCATACCTTGATGAACTCTCCATCCTTGTACTTGGTTGCTTCGCGGTAGAGGGGCCACATGATGAAGCGGTAAGGGTCGAGCTTCCTGACGAGGGGCTCGCCGATAGCGAAGGGCACACTGGTGAAGAGGACCAACTCGTAGTACTGGCTGAGGTAGCGCAGGAAGTAGTCGACACCAGGGCGCTTAGCAACTCTCCAGCCGTGCTCACGAGACCACTCGCTGTGGACAAGTAAGTCCTCCAAGCTGATGCACAGAGTGTAGGGACGCTCGAAGGACGGATCCGGGTCGGGCAAGAGCTTTTCGAAGGCGGGCTCTTGGTAGTAGTTGAGGAAGTCTCCTGTGCGCGCCTTCACTCTGTTCCACCACTCCCCAAATCCCCAGCCGTTGGGTGCGTCCTCGGCATGCCTCTTGGCCTCGATCTCGTCGTCCCAATTGCGGCCGAGGTAGATCGCACCAGTAATAGTGAAACCAAGGAAGGCCAGATACATGCGGTTGGCAAGCTGCTGTCTTTTCCTGTCTGTTGAGGAGACATATGCTGAATCGGGGAGTTCTCCGCGGCCACGGCCGCCACCTGATGCGACAGCATCCTCCTCGGCGATGGCAGCAAGGGCAGCCTTGTTGGTCGCGCCGGACATCTCGTAGGCAAGAGTGGACGGAATGCCCTGCGTCAAATCGGGGAGAGGGCCGGTCGGTGTGGGTTCCTCGGGGGCTTCGGTCGCATCGGAGGCATTTGTCTTAGCTTCGGCATCGGAGGCGTTGGTTGAAGCTTTCGGTGATGTGGTTTCGGGTGTTGAGTCCGCAGGCTTCTGGGTATCAGCGGGCTTGGAGGCAGATCCGGAGGCGCTCTTTGGCTTCTTCTGCTGGGCGAAGTTTCTGCTCCATGTTGCGGCCACGAATTGGGGTCTCGTAAGTGGTGTTGCGACTGGGCGATACAGCTGCGCCGCAGAGGGCTGCAGGCGCGCGAACCGAGCTGCCCTTGACAGCATGACGTCTCAAGGGCCAATGTCGGCGTATATGAATGTGCAAGGGTGTAAAGACCCAACGATGGTTCAATCGTAAGTCGCGAACAAGGGGCGGTGGAGGTGATGCGCCGACAACGAAGAAAGGCCTGGCGGGCGTTGTCGAGGTTGGAGCAGGTGGAGTGGGCTGGCGATATTCCTGACGAAGCCACTAGAAATTTTTGAGAGGCACAGAGGGAAGCACCACCTCCTCCTCACACACTGACCTGCACTTTGGCAGGTGCAAAGTTACGTAGCGCATACAAGTACCCTTGCGCGCAGCTGGTGCCGGAGGGATACATCGGCGAGTCACCCCACTCCGTCATGGAAGGTTTCTGTTGAATTTGGAGCTCTGATTGGGCCTGGCTGCCTAAGTCCAAGCTCCTCCTCAGTCCAACTGAGTGGCTTATCGCCGAACTTGATCCGTTCTCCGACATTGAATGACTAAGGCAGCCCAGCGTCCGTCTGGCCCAATGAGGTCATTCTCGGTGCAGAAGCCGTTCCACTTTGGCCTGCCCTCAGCTGATTGGCCCCGGCCCATCAGGCTTAGTCAATTAAACCAGCAGGGGCTCACGTGCGAACCTTGTCCCGGTGCTGCAGCGCTGCAGCCCAGCGTCCAGTCTCCGGTCTTTCTGGTGCTGGCAGCGTCTGGTATTCTGGCAGTGACCTTCATGCATGAGCTGAGGTGCTGCGCTTTCCACACCTCGTCTTCCTCTTCCCCTCACATATACTGAGCTCGACCCCGATCTGTCTCATCTACTTCTTCTCCCACCTACATCTCCGTGGTTACTTCGAAGAGCAGGATCCTTCGACTTTCCATCACCGGCAGAACCGACACATAGCGCCATAGCCTCCGCCCAATTCCAAACCATTTCAGTCATCCCCGTCCCGCTTCTTCACACCGTCACCATGGCTGTCACGCGTGGTGAATTCTAGAGGGTGGTCCCCAAGTTCGATGCCACGATCACAATGGGACCACCCTCTGTGATTCTTCGCGTCCTTCCAGACTGCCTCTTAACCTGCTTCGCCTAAACACTGCACCGCATCGCTATTGAAATCTCTGCACATACTGCCGCTAGATACCCTTGCGCGACAAAGACCCCGCCACCCCGCCACTCCCGTCCTCCTTATCGACGACCGATTCTACGATTCGCCCCAAGATATTCCCGGTCACCGATATCCCGTTCGAAATCTGCCATTGATCCTTCGAACGACTACGGCAATCCGCCATGATGGTTCGCCGTGTCAAGGTCTCCCGGGCTCTGGGTCCGTCGCATGATCCTACGCCCATTTCGTCAACTCTCACAACACCACTGAGTTCCGCCTACCCTTCGACATATGCCTCCGAAGCGGATTGGGACAGCGAGGTGAATAACCTGCCCATGAGCGCACTCTCTCTTGAGCAGAAGAAGGCCAGACGGAAGGCGAAGCCCTTCCCCTTCATGTCACTGCCGTCCGAACTTCGCCTCAAGGTATACGACTACTACTTCGAGGGCGATGGCAAGGTCATTGATCTTGACCCGGACAACTATAAGAAATACCACAAAAAGCTCGGCATTCAAAGGGTTTGCCGTACTATATACCAAGAAGTCTCTCACTACTTCTACAGCAGCCGCTCGTTCCGAATCTTTCCCACTCACCCGGGCAAGTACTTCAAGACTAAGAAGCCGCTGCTGGCCCGTATGAAGCCAGCCTCACGATCCCACATCACCTCGTTGGAGCTGCGACTCGGTCCCGGCTGGAGCAAGCCGCCGCGAGGATGGATAGTTACCCCAGCTCTAGGACTCCAGCAATGCGTCAACGTCCGTCGGCTCCTGGTCATGGTCGAATGCGACCCCAGCGACGGTATCTTCAACGGATTCCGCCGTTCAGACGGCTTTTACGAAGGCTTTTGTCGATCCCTCCTTACAGAGGTCATGAACGAGATGCCCTGGCTTGACACGGTCACTTTTGATGCGTGGCCAAGTGTTAAGAAGTCGGGTGCAATGATGAAAGGGCTCCTCGAAATAACTGCGGCGAACAACCGCAAGATTCGCTGGGGCCCCGACCGAGGATGGACCGATGGACCTGACGACGAGCCTCAGCCCAGCAGCAACCTTGTCCTGGTGCCGCCGCCTACGGAGTTCAATACGTCCAGCGTAGGCGTCTTGGTCATGGCGTAGTGACGATGGTGAAAGTCCATCTCACGCACTTTGAAGCTCTCATTTCCTATTCACTCGCAACTCTGGGATTGGCTTTACGGATTCGGTACGGCACGGGACAGGCTGGAATGCAAGCACTGGGTTTAAACTGGATCATAACGGCGGCCACAGCGGTCGACCGCATTCTTCTCTTGCGACGAGATTGTATGTAATTGTAGCATGACGAGGAACGAGAAACATGATTTATCACTAACAGCGGGTGTACCTGATCTGCCGATGTGACGAGATGTATGTGAGCAGTGATCACCTGTAAATCTACCCGCAAAGGGGACGGGATCGTACTCAGGCGACACAGACGACGGCCGCGCAACATGTTCCTCCTGGTCAGACCACCTCGCGGCTTGGGTCTCGTGGTCTGCTGAATCCTCCGATGGACCGTCCCGTCAGAAGCGTTCCGGATATTAGGTGCAGCATTAACTCTCGCTACCCCGCGTTTTCGGATCCCGCCAATGGGTTGCTGGTCGGACGAGGTGCCGTGTGGCCTGCACGTCAACTTGCACCATCCATGCTCGACTCGGCCTTGAGTTTCAAGACCTTTCCCGTTTTCTGTAGCTCTGGGCTTGCAGTTGATGGAGGGCAGGGTAAGGCAGCTTCCCCGCGATCTGGGGAAGGGACAGTGCGGGCCTGTCTTGAATCTTGAATCTTGACTTTCCATGAGCTGGGCTCAGGGCCGCCCTAGGGGTTCAAAGGCCCGTGCATCGCGGAGGACGGGGCACCGATACCGACGCCGTGCGGCCGGGGCCCCACCTCACCATCCCACTTGGTGCTTTCGCAGGCGGCAAGTGCCATGGTGGATTGACGCTTTCCAAAATTTTGGCTTGGTCTGCGCGCGACATCGTCTGTTATCGAGTTTCCCGGCACACCACGTAGCTCGCAACAATATCCCTTTCCCCCGGAATTGACGATAGTAACAACACACGACGATGCCTCTCGACACATCAACATATTCCATGGCGCTGCTGCGCGTGGACGGCCGCCGCTGGAACGAGCTCCGACGCCTGCACGCCCAGATCCGCACCCAGGAGGCCGCAGATGGCTCCAGCTACCTCGAGATGGGACACACCAAGGTCATGTGCGTCGTGACGGGACCGAGCGAACCCCAGCGACGCGGAGGCGCGGGTGGTCAGACAAAGGACGCTGCCGTCAATGTCAACATTGTGGTTGCCGGCTTCAGCTCAGTCGACCGCAGGAAGCGCGGTCGCAATGACAAGTGGGTGCCAACTTGAATTCGAGATGCGACGATGTATGCACTGATTGACTGACTGTTTTTTGTCTCTGCAGGCGCAACCAAGAACTCGAGGCTGCCATCGCCAAGGCTGTCGCCGCGAACCTCCACACCCATCTCTTCCCCCACAGCAGCATCTCCATCTCGCTGCACGTCCTGTCGCAGGACGGCTCTCTGCTGGCTGCGCTGCTCAATGCCTCGACTCTCGCCCTGATTGACGCGGGTATCCCCATGACCGACTACATTGCCGCATGCACTGCGGGCTCGACATCAACATACGCCGCTGCCGACGACGGCGCCGACCCTCTGCTGGATTTGAACACGCAGGAGGAGCAGGAGTTGCCGTACCTGACGGTGGGAACACTTGGTCTGACGGACCGCGTTGCCGTCCTGGTCTGCGAGAGTCGCGTGCAGGTCAGCCGTCTGGAGGGCATGCTGGCTGTGGGCGTAGATGGCTGCAAGCAGGTGCGGCAGTTCATGGACAGGGTAGTGAAGGAGAAGGGCAGGCAGATGGTGCAGGAGGGCGCGGCGGAGAAGGGAACTGGTCTGGATCTGGAGATGGAGTCATAGGATTATTGCAGCGGATGATGCATTACGACGGTGGAAAGTATAATATTATCAACGGTCAGATTCCCTACCGATTGCTATGGTACATCTCCAGCTAATCATGCGTACAGAACATCATGCAGGCCTTTTTTGTTTACAACTCGTCGTGCGCAGCAGGGGCCTCAGACGCCTCCTCCTTGGGAGCCTCAGTTTCCGGCTCGGGCGTTGGCTCAGTGGCCGCAGTAGACTCAGTGCTCTCCTTGGGGGTCTCAACCTCCTCGACAACCACGCCCTCAGGAAGCTTCTTCTTGGCACCCTCGCCCAGGCGGATAGCGTCAACCCAGTTCTCGACGCTTACGAGGTCGAAGTCACCGTCGTAGTGTCTCCACCAGTTGCGACGAGCGTTCAGAGCAACAATCTCGACATCGCCCTTGAGGGATAGGCCCTTAACAACGGAGGCGCCGGCGATGTTCTCCTCAGGGACCGAGAAGAATGGGAAGATCTTGCGCTGGCCTTTGGCGTACTTGTGGGCGAGCTCAGCAAGGCTGCCGAGAGCCTTCTGAGCCTTCTCGTTCTCCTTGGTCGGGACAAAGGCGAGGATGCAGGTGTGAGACTTGGGGCTGAGGCACTCCTTCTGGAGAGTCTCGGGGGTGGCGATGACGGGAATAGCGGGAGTGGCAGGAGCAGCGGGAGTCTCCTGGGTAGCGGGGGTCTCGGTAGGCGTCTCGGGCTCGGGGGATGCCTCTTCGGCAGCGGCGGGCTTGGCAGAGGATTTCTTGTCGGCCTTCTTGTCGGCCTTCTTTTCCGTCTTCTTCTCGGCCTTCTTCTTGTCCTTGGCCGGCGCAGGGTCGGGGTTAGGCTCGGCGACCTGAGAAATAAACTTGACGAGACCGTCCTTCTTCATCTCTCCATCGTAGGTAATGGGTTCCTTGTCGCCACCAGGCAGGAGAACCAGAGTAGGGAAAGACTTGACTCCAAACTTTTCGACGGCAGCAGCTTCCTTGCTGCGAACCTGGCCAACCTTGACGGCGTCGAGGAAGTCAATGGCGACGCTGCGCAGGAGGGCGCTGGTGGTTCCCTTCTCGGTGAACAGAATGGCCTTGGGCTTGTCGCCCTCGAGGAAGGAGTCGAGGTCCTTGTCGGTGACGCGCTTAACGTGGTTGGTGATCTTGTCGACGACAGCCTCGACGATGCCGGTGGCGGTACGGGGGCCCTGGTAGTCCTCGACGATGGGCTTGCCGGGCTTCTTGCCGGGTCTCACGATCTTGAGAGTCGGGAAACCCTGGACGCCCATGCCGCCGCAAAAGGGCTTGTTGGCGTCATCGTCGCAGTCGATGGCGGCGACCTTGGCGAGACCGTTGAGGTTCTTGGCGGCCTTTTCGTAGGCGGGCTTGAGGTTCTGGCAGTGTCCGCACCAGGGAGCGTAGAACTCGACGATCTGGTTGGGTGTGTAAGTCAGCGAACGGAGGCTAGAGATTGGTCAGCAGGGGTGGCGGCGCATACCGAGGTGTAGTTGGAGTTTGCAATCAGCTTGTCGTAGCTGCGGGCGTCGAGCTGCAGGACGGGCGAGCTCTTGGTGTACATGCCGGCATTGACTCCGGGCAGGGCTGACAGCACGGCAACGCCGGCGGCGGCGAGCAGTGTGGGGTGATGCATCGCGGTGGATAAGGTCGAGTTGAGGAGTGACCTGAGTGGGGGGTCTGAAGGGATGTGACGCCAGGAAGATTTTAGTTGGTTATGGTGTAAGAGAGGGGGGATGGGAAAGAGAGATTTGGACAGGAGGCGTGGGAGGAATTGTGTGTTCGAGCTTGGAACTAGGTTCAGGTTCGGCCGGAAGGGCAGCTCTCAAGAGAACGTCGTCTGCATTTAAAGACCCGTAGGGATGGGGAACTTTGGGACGAAGAAGGGAAGCAAGCTGGTGAAAAGAAAAAGAAAAAAGGTGTCAAGTTGGCATCTTTCTCAATTTGGGAAAGAGGCCAGCGTGGAACTGTGAGACGCGAACCCCTCACCTAGGCGCATGGCCTGGTCCGATTGCCAGGCTCAATTCGAGCGTGAATGGAACCGTGGAAATTTCCAGTCAATGACAGGCAGCCATTGACTGCTCTCCTCTGCAGTGCACCGTGCATTGTGCATTGAGGGAGAGAAGCAAGCCACGACCCCACACGAGCTGTTGGAGCTTGAGCCACACCATCGACCAGGAAGTCGGAACGTATTGAGGCTTGGATAGCTGAACGGTGTGGCGCGCGCAGGGACGGTAGGTTTACGGATACTGTACCTAGCTTCCAGTACCTTCCCTCCACCCCAGGCAACAAGCAAGGAGGAAGGTACATGGCTGATGTATCTCTCTGCATCCGGTGACCACCTTCCCCGCCAGTGATGCCATGTACGTACAGTGGGGATGGTCGACGCTCAGCGGTATGCGCGAGGTCCAAGAACATGTCTCCAACATCTCGGCATTGCACCCCTCGTCGCATGTCCGGCCCGTGAGCGTTCTGCCCCCGAGATCCCGTCGATTTCTTCCCGCTCGACGCATCCAACGCATCTTCAACTCTCACCGTGTCTCTTGCGAGCTGTGAACACCTGGGCTTGCCCGCCGCAACCCGCCCTCCTAGCCCACTATGGCCGACCCAATCCCCGATAGCCTGCGACAGGCCGATATCACGAGATTCATCAATCGCGCAAACCAGCTGCGCGACTTCAAGCCCGCAGTTACCTACTGGTGTGCGTGCCATGGAGTCCGCCGCACCTTCACCGACCACCGAGGCTGACAGCGCATCTAGGCGAATACTGGGTTATCAACCAGATCTTGGCCAAGCAATTGCACAATGTCGACGACGAGAGTCTGGCCTACACCACCAACTTGATGGACCGTCTTGAGAGGGTAAGCAGTTATCTTGGATTGGAACATACTCGAGATTCATACCGCTAACACGCGGCAATAGACGAAAACCGAAAATGCTGCAGAAGAAGCCATCACAGACGATACCGTCGGACAAGCCTATGTCGAGCAATTTGCCCAGGAGACATTCGACCGCGCAGAGAAGGTTATGCGCGCGAACAAAGTTACCAGGTATGCAGTCTCCGGCAAGTCCTATTCCCCAACAGACTCTAACGGATGCGTCTTATCAGGAAAACCGCTGATACCTATGATGCCGCTGCGACGTTCTTCCTGCTGGGAAATATCTGGGGACAAATCGACGACGAGACACAGAAGAAGGTCAAGTACGCAAAGTGGAACGCTGCTCGCATATTGAAGGCCATCAAGGAGGGGAAGGATCCCAACGAATCGAACCCCAAAGAACCAGAACCCGAAGAAGCTCTTCCCTCTTTGGACCCTAACGATCCCGAGGTCCTGGGACTGGCATCGCCACCGCCAGCTCCCACCGTCGAGGACGACCCGGAAACCGAGTTCTACAGACAGGCCGCAGCTCCGTCGGCCCCGGCCCCACCACAAGAACCGAGCGAGCCCCAGCCTGCGCAGTCGAGCGTGCTTGACCTGCCCTCCGTTCCCTCAGGAAACGATGTAAACCCTTCGGTACCGCAGAACCAGGGCTACTTTGACCCTCCCGAACAGTTCCCCCCGTCGCCCCTGAGCCAAACTGGTGCCAACGATAGTGCGGCAGTAAACGCCGCCTCGGCCCCGTCGCCCTTTGCCGGTTCCGCCGCGCCTTCCTTTAGCCCTGCCAACCCCGCCTCTCCGTGGCAGCCACCGCAAATACCAAAGCCGACACCTCCGCCTGCCGCTCCACAGTTCAAGCCCCCGCCGTCCGTTCCGCAGCAGCCCAAGGCGCCCGTCGTGCCCATCTCGAACAACTCTTGGACTCCCAACAACGGGCCAATGGATGATTTGGATCTGCCCAAGGCACAGAAGCATGCAAAGTGGGCCATCTCCGCGCTCAACTTTGAAGATGTCCCGACGGCTGTCAAGGAGCTTCGCAATGCGCTCGCGGCCCTGGGAGCGCAGTAATAAAGCTAGAATCATATGCATGAAGAGAGGAAGAAGACAACAACGACACAGGATTGCGATGGAATCAAACAGGCTTTGGAGAACCAAGGCCAGTCGTCAATGGGAATATTTCTATACTTTCACCAGCACTGAATGCGTAGCATACACTTTCCAAGTCTCAACCCTAGGCCGTTCCGCCATTGACACGAATAACCTGTCCTGTAACCCATGATGAACCCTTTCCAGAGAGGAAGATGGCGACGTCTGCGATCTCCTCTGGTGTGCCGATCCTGCCGAAGGGGCTCATGCTTGTGACCCGCTGCACCATCTCTGGCGTCTTGTCCTTGTAAAAGAGGTCGGTACCAGTGGGGCCAGGGGCAATGGCGTTGATGGTGATACCCTTTGAAGCGAGGTCCTTGGCCATGTACTTGGTCATCTGCTCGATGCTGCCTTTCGTAGAAGCGTAGAGGAGGTAGTTGGGAGGCAGGCTGCTGGATGCGAGGACGGTCGTTGAGAGGAGGATGATGCGGCCTCCCTCGGACATGTGGGGGAGCGCTTTCTAGGAAGGACATTGTTAGTCACAGCGGGCTTTGGTGTAATTGACGCATTAAAGTCCCCAAAGATGAGAGGGAAAAGTCATACTTGAACCAAGAAATAAGGGCCCTTGACGTTGGTGTTGAACATGATGTCGAAATCCTCCTCGGTGGTGTTCTCGACGGTGCGCATTTGCATCAGCGCCGCATTGGGGATGAGCACGTCGATGCGGCCAAACTTGTCGACGGTGGCGTCCACGAGCTTCTGCAGCTCGGGCATCTTGGAGTTGTCGGCCTTGACGGCGATAGCGCGGTCGCTGCCAATCTTGGAGACGACCTCGTCGGCGGCGGAGGAGTCGCTGCTGTAGTTGACGACGACCTTGGCGCCCTGCGAGGCGGCGGACAGGGCGATGGCGCGGCCGATGCCCTTGGAGCCACCGGTGATGACGATGACCTTGTCTTGGAGCGACATGTTGACAGCTAATGGATCGTTGTTTGGTGGGTTTGCGGAGAGGTGTCGTGTGCTTATGGCACGAAGGATTACCAGGCTGGGTTGTTGTCGCTTAAGTCTACAGAACAGGATTCATCACGAGAGCTTGGCAGGATCTTTGGGGTCTTATATGGAATGGATGCTGCTTGCAGAGGCGCTCGCAAGCGCGACGGGCGAGTCATCCCAATCGCGTCTACGTCGAAGGAACGAACAAAGCTCCATCGTCGGAGAAAGGAATGGTACCTCAGCGAGGCAGCGCTGATCTGTTTCCGAACATGTGGATTAGGAGCCATGCACGCGCTGCATGCCTTCGCTAGTGAAAGGCTTGTTCCAACGCGCGAAAGGCCGAGCTTGCGTGGGAGGGCTCGGTGGGCGTAGCAGGGCGGATAACCCCGCTGTTTGTGTCGATTAGGTAGCCATGTCTCGGACGGGGATTAGGAATTGCCGGATTGGACCTTTGTTGAGACCGAGCCGCGAACTAGTTTGATAGTGAAGCGTCAGATCCAAGTGCTGTGGAAGACGGAGCTTGGATCAGCTCGCACGGGATGGACTTTGGTCCGATAGGGCTGGCGGTTTGATGTCCATGACGTACCTACCTGGGCTGAATCAATAAATTGGATTTCTGGGGCTGATCCAAGCTCCCACGGCTCTGGTCCGTCACTGTCGGGTTTGGAGAAAGGTGAGCTGTAAGCCCGACGAGGGATCAATATGTGATTGGCGTCCGGGATTAAGGAGGATATGAGAGGCGATCTGGACACCTCGATTCCCGAGCCGGGAGATCCCTTCCGCCACGGACATGATCAGCGTGCTTGAACATCCTGGCCCGACAGCTTCATATTTGGAAATGACTTGTGCTGGGGCCGGACGACATGGTTGCAGCAAGGCTGTGACCCGGGTGTTAGATTTAGTTGGCGTGCTGGATTTACGCTTGGTCTTGGTTATTCCGTCGGCGTTAGGACCTTCATTTGAGGGGTGATGAAGAAATTCGGTCTTGTTGATGTCATCCGAAGCTCTGGACTCTCGACGACCAAAGCCACCCCTCACTTGTTTAGACACTTGGCGATTGTCACCGCTACCCACCAAGGACTTTGCATCGCTGGTTAAGCTGTAAGTCCTAGCCGCCATCGGTGTTAGGAGGGGGATTGCATGAGTTGGCGCGGAATTATAATGCTCTTGTAGAACATCTGGAGACGATGCCAAGAGTTTAACAGCAAAACCTCACGCGCACTAAGGCGGGTTTGACACTTGGCCTGTTCCCGGAGACCATGGAGCCCACGGTGCCCACGGAGCACACGGCGGAGGTGGAGCTGCGCCGGGGTTCAGTGTACGGGACGAGGCCGCAACTGAAGACCAGACGTCACTTCAAGCTATGAAGTTCCAAGATCTTGACTTGATATCCGATCAACCAGTCAAAAAAAGCTCATTTGAAGTCATTCTTCTCGGCCCCATGCGCTAGACTGACAGTTCATGAGCAAGATTCATAAGCAACTAGCCAATGAAGAGATGCGACTATCTAGATCTTCCCGATAAGGTGCCACGTAAATGTAGGTGCCAGACGAATATGGCAAAATATGCTCGCACCCCATGTCTAGCCGGAGTCTCCGTTACCTGTGGAGGCGCCAAAGATCCTTGTCATTGATTGCCTGATGGTGTTGTAATGAGGGGTATTGGTAACCTGGAGCTGGAGTTAGTCTCTGCCTACGTGGTGGTGACCGATAGACCTAGATGCCCGTTCGTGGGCTGGCCCTCTAGTATATAAAGACAATCTAGTCCGGCCATTTCTAGAATGATTGTCAAACTAGTTATCAAGCCACATCTTCAGCTTGATCTTGAGCGTTCAATTGCAACGCCTAATCATTCATATCACATACTCCACGAACCGCACCGAACATGGCTTCCCTCCCGCAGACGTACAAGGCGGCCGTGATCAAGTCGGTGCGCGCACCGCTTGAGATTGTCGACCAGGAGCTGAAGAAGCCCGGCCCAGGCCAGGTCCTTGTCAAGGTACTGGCCTGCGGCGTCTGCCATTCCGACGTGGTAGTCCAGGAGGGAGGCTTTGGTGACGGCTTGTTCCCTCGAGTGCCTGGCCATGAGATCATTGGCGATGTGGTGGCAATTGGCGATGGCGTAACAAGATTCCAAGGCGGAGAGAGGGTCGGAGGTGCCTGGCACGGAGGTAAGACATTTCCCATGGATAAGTAGGAAACAGAGAGAGACCTCTGCTGACAGTCGGCTGCTTCAACAGGCCACGATGGAACATGCCCCCAGTGCCAGAAGGGCTTCTTCCAGACATGCCAAAACACGGCGGTCAACGGCGTGTCGATGGATGGCGGGTACGCCGAGTACGTGCTTCTCCGGGCGGAAGCCGTCGTCCGGGTGCCGAAGAACATGGACCCGGCGGACTCGGCGCCGCTCCTCTGCGCTGGGGTGACGGTGTTCAACAGCATCCGCAAACAGGGCATCGAGCACGGCAGCCTCGTGGTGATCCAGGGTCTCGGCGGACTGGGCCACCTCGGGGTGCAGTACGCCAACAAGATGGGGTACAAGGTGGCGGTTCTCAGCTCGGGGTCGTCCAAGAAGGAGTTTGCGTCGAAGCTGGGTGCGCACGAGTACATTGATACCAGCGCGGAGGACCCAGTCAAGAGGCTGCAGGAGCTCGGGGGTGCGGCGTTGATCGTGGCGACGGCACCTCACGCTAAGGCCATCTCGCCTCTCACTGGCGGACTGATGCCCGGGGGCAAGCTGCTGGTGCTGGCGCCGGTCGGGAAGCTGGAGGTGGACTCAGTGGACCTGATCATCGGCGGCAAGTCGGTGGGCGGGTGGCCGAGCGGACATCAGATTGACACGGAGGTGGCGCTCGACTTTGCGGCGACTCACGGGGTCAAGTGCATGGTCGAGAAGTTTCCTCTGGCGGAGGCGAGGAAGGCGTCGGAGCACATGATTTCGAACACGGTGCGTTTCCGTAGTGTGCTGGTGATGGAGTAGACAGGCACTTTGTAATTAGTGTGTAATTATGCCGTCTGTTGTCGTTGGTTGCAAACGGTTTGCAAGTTGCCGTGTTTGGGGTAACAATGGCAGCGAACGCGCGCGCGCGTGTGTGTGTGTGTGTGTGAGTGTGTTGGAAAAACAGTGATATGAGAGACCGAAAATAAAATAAAAATTGGACGAACGGCGGGGCCGGAGACCGGGACATGCACCGATGGAAGGAGCTACCTAGCGGCCTACTCCGTACTTACCTACTTTACATTATAATGGATGAGGTAACATGGTTGAAGGGAGGTGCTGGGCGGGAAGACACCTGCCCTTGGCACTGTGAAGCTTCCCGTCTTCGGTCATCAGGTGAAGCTTGTTGGGCAGCAATGTGGTCGATACTGGAGGGGCACAGTGACGCGTGGGCCAGGCTGATTTGATTTGATTTGATTTGATTGCGCCCAGCAGGTGCTGTCGGGTGCTGTGACCGTGACCGCGACCCCCTGTCAAGAGGTGAAGAATTTCATCCACCTCCGCGACCTCGACACCGGCTGCCCCAACTCCTCCAATGTCTCATTCTCCCGTCATCCACACCACGCACCACACCCTACACCTCCTCCACCACCACCACGTCGAATCGGGCCACTCTCCCCGTCCCTCCACACATCCATCCGGCCCTTCTCACATCTCATTCTATGAATCTCAAAACGACATCCGCCACCACGACCCAGTCGTCACTTCGTCCCACGGCACCCGCGCTGGAGCTGGAGAGCCTCCGGCTGCACCGTTGAAATGGTGAAACGAGACTACCACCAGAGGTCCCCCCAGGACATCTGGTTCATCAGCGGCGTATCCCTGGCAGTCCTCCCCTGGCCCGATGATCCCATCAAGTCCAACGCTCTGTTCCTCAATCCCATCCACGTGAGACGCCTGGGCGGCAAGTATGACAAGCCCCCCAAAGGCGCAGACGAAACCAAGGATTTCCACTATCGCAAACGCACCATCTGGATCAATCTCGTCGTCCTCTTCCGCCTCCTGCTCATGGCACAGCATCTCTCCTTCGACCATGACAACTTTTGGAAATTCGTCCGCCTCAAGTGGGGAACTGGAACCAATGCGTCCGATACCAAATTCATCGTCAACCTTTACGCTGACCGTCGCCACACATACCTCAACAACCGCCACATCCAAAGGCGCCATGAGGATCTCTTGACCGACCTCATTGACGCCTGGGTATCCCGCGGTGGCGACCTTCCCCTGCCTAGGTGGCCCAGGAGAGACGACATCACCGCTGAATGGGAGAGGCTTAATGCTGATTGGGACCGCTTCCTCCAATACGGCGACTATTCTCTCCTCATCGACCCTGATGACCCCCCTACTCTTGGTCGCTTTCCTGAAGATCGAGGCACCCCTGCTCCCTTCAGAATCAAAGGCGAAGGCTTGCGCTCTCGCTCTCAGAGCACTGGCTATGACCGTGACCAGTCGTCTACCCAAACATCTATGGCCCCTCCTCCCCGGAACAACGACCCCCCAACCCCGCCCTCTCCCCCTTCTAGGCCTTTGACACCAAACACCACCGAAGTGGCTGTCGACGAGCTCATCGAGTCGGAGGGAAACCCTGCCCAGAAGCGCAAGCCTCACCCCGACGACCTCGATCCAATTCCCACCAAGCGCCGTTGCATAGAGGACGATCTATCCTCCCCATGGGTGAGAGCACCTAGTCCAGCTCCTGAGGATTTGGAAGCGGACGCAACTCATCCCGAATCAGGATCTGGCCCCACTGAGAAGCACACATCACATCAACTGGTCGCCATGATTGAACGGGCCAGGAGTGATATTCAAGACCTTGAAACTAGGCATGAGAATCGACTTGATTCTCTCAAAGAACGTGCTGGAGAGCACAGAGATACGCTTCAGTATCTCGAAGAAAAGGCCGGAGAACATGCTGATATGCTTCATTCTCATGCGTCAAGGGCCGGCGAACACGGAGTCCAACTTCTAGAACTCAACACGAGAACGAATGACCATCGAGATAAGCTTGCTTCTCTGGAATCAAAATCCAGCAGAAATGAAGAGAGAGTGGGCAGTCTCGAGACGCGAACCAGCCAGTATTGGGGCTCTCTATCATCCTTCGAAATGAGGACCAACGCCCACGAAAAACAACTGAGCATTCTTGAAGCAAAGTCGGACCATCACAAGGACAAGTTTTGTTCACTCGAAGCAAAAACAGGCACGCAAGAAACAGCTCTGGGTTTCCTCAAGACAAAGGTTAGCGAGCACGAGAAGAAGCTCAAATCGCCCCAGTCCCACGGCAATGTCGGCGAGCAGGCGACAATGCCGGGCCCCTCAAAGGCCAATGCTCATGCAGAGGCACTACAATTACTCCAAGAAGACGCTGGTAAGCAAAGCGAGGCGCTTCAATCTGTCGAGCAAAGGGTGGATGATCTTGAGAGGAAATCTAGCCTTCAGTCGCATCAGCTTGGCAGCCACCAGAAGCAGATTGACGACCAAAAATGCCAACTTGACAACCATCATAAGCGGCTAGACGACTACCACAGACAGCTCGATGATCATCACAACAAGATTGTTGCTCACGCTCAGGAGACGTTGCTGCAATCTCTCCAAGACAAGGCGGGAGCGGACGAAAACATGACGCAGTCGTTGCAAGACCTTAAGGCAAAAGCCAGTCAATTACAAACGACCATTGGCAACTATCGGGCTGAGCTTGACACTGTCAAACTGAGACTTGCAAAATCAGAAGAGACGACTAGCCAGTTGGGCAAAACTAGTGTCCACAATGCGGCTTTCACGATTCTAAGTTCCAAAGTCGACGGGAATCTAGGAAGACTGAGCTCCATGGAGGAGGCCGTTGCTCAACTCACCAAGAGTTCGACGACGAAGCTGAATGAGCATGTGAATATCCTAAACTCCTTAAGAGCGTCGACTGCCAGGCTTGACAAGACGAGCGGGGAGTCCAAAGCCACGCTTGATTCACTCGAAGCCATGGTTACCCGGCAAAGCGAACAGTCTCAAGCAGTCGCCAAAACAATCGACAGCCTCAGGAAAATGAACGACGTGTTCAATGCCATGCTTGACTCACTCGAAGGCAAGGTTGACCAGCAAAGCCAACAATCTCAAGTAGTCGCCAACGCAGTGGACAGCCTTCAGGGAACGAACGACGAGTTCAGCACCAAAGTTGAGTCTCTTGAAACCGACTTTGGCAAATACAGGGACCAGTTCCATTCTCTCAAGACTGTCGTCGACAGCCTTGAAAAGACTATACGCGAGTCCGCGAACGTTAAAACCCTTGAAGCCACGTTTGGCGAGCACAAAGACGAGCTTCACACTCTTCAAAAGGCGGTTGGTGATTTTGATAGGACGACTGTCGAGCACGACGAGAACATCCGAGCGCTTCAAGAGCAGATGAAGCTTGTCCGGGAGTCTGGCGACCTCTCCCGTGATGTCCACAAAGCTCACAATGATCTTACCCTTTTCACAGCGTCCCAATGCCAGGCAGCATTGGAGAAACTTGATACATTTGCTGCAGACCTCTCTTCACTCCGGAAGGAAGTTGAATCGTGTCGTCAAACTACCGACGAAGCAAGAGATTGGCAGACTCAACGTGAAGAAGCCAACAAAACTCGGGCGCGCCTACTAGACATTGAATCAGTGGCGACAATACGAAAAGAACAGAGGGAACAGCTTGATCGGGACCACAAGCTTGATACCCGAATCAAGATCGCGGATGACCGTATCTCACGTGTAGACGCAAGTGCCAAAGCTACGACGAAGACCCTCAAAGGGTTACAATACCGGCAGCAAGAGTTTGCAGAGGAGGTCGATGACCGGCTGGCCACAACAGGCAAACATCTCGCGGCGGTGATGGCGAGGGTGGAATTATTGCGGAACAGCATGGATGAAAGCATGAATGCCAGGCTTTCCAAGTTGGAAAGTGGGTTGAAAAACCAGAGCATAATCAGCCCTGCCGTTGAAGAACGTCTGACGAGAATGGAGGATGCTATCCAAACCAACACCACATTAATCGGCAACTGTAGGACATTGGTCGAAGTAAGCAAGACGTCGTTAGACCAACAGTTCAGCACCCTGGGCAACCGGGTTAGTCTACTGGAGCAGCGACTCAACCGTCGCATGGCTGAACAGGAACAGTCTGCTAAAGCTCAAGCCATGCGAATGGACCGCCTGGAGGCTGCGTTGGCGCAGCAGATGGGTACGAACAGCCAATATCGTGGGTAGGCCGCATCCTCACTGTGCTCATGTGCCTAATGGGCGCCTTGAACTCTTCTGGCCTGGACCGACTGGTACGGTAAACCAAGCTGTCGGTACGCTGGAACGAATGGGAGTCATGAATCTTCGAGCCCATTCATGACCTTGTACAATGAACATGGGGCGATGTCTTGGAATTCGAGATATCTGAACGATCTAAGTTTGGACGAGATCATGATAGTGATACCAGATGGAATGCGGGCGACCTGATTGACTCTCACAGGCTTCCATTGGAAACCTCCTCCACTACTGTCCCCTCAATGCTTTCCATTCATCCTCTAACATTGAGTACAGAAGCACATCCCACCATTGTCTCTCGTGGAAATGCGACTTGCGGTAACGGCCCTCTAGAACGAAGCCCAGCTTCTCGTACAGATGCTTCCCGCGGTCGTTGCATTCGACGCAGCCCAGACTGATGGAGTGGATGTTGGCTTTTTGGAAGGCCCAGGCGACCGCCCAGTTGATTGCCTCAGCGCCATAACCTAGATTTCGATACGGTTTCGCGATGGAGATGCTGAGGACTGCGAGGCGATGGTGATGGCGGTAATTATCGCCCGCCTCATCGTTGAGTGCAACCACGCCGATTGGTTGTGGACTTGCGGCTTCATCTGCGGCGGGTAGACAGATGATGACGCCCAGGAGGAAGCCTTGGATCTCTAGAAGCAGTGAATCGCTGCGGCGTCTTGTCTGCGGCCGTAATACATTGGAATCTCCAAGTGCGAACCCGACCGGGTCGTTTTTGATCTGTTCGTGAAACCACCTCTTGTCGTCCTCGTCATCTTCAATAGCCCTGAAGATGAGCCTTCCCGACTGGAAGGAGTTTCCCACTAATTCTTCGTCCATTGTGGTGGACCCGAGTGGTTATACTTGCTGCAGCGTATACAGTCTTTTGAGTGGACTCAATGCAATTATTCGAAGAATATTTCTGAGTGTGACTTGGTCCAAGTTCCTTTGATGTTCGCTCCAAGGAAACAGCGATCTCTTATATCTCGATGCCTTGTCAAAATCCGAAAGTCTCCGCGGGTATGGCTCATGGCCGCCGAGACCATTCGCACTGGCAGGACACCCGAGACAAGGCAACGTGGCGATATTCCCATTGAGTCACGCCGAGCGAGTGCATGTTACACAACAGCCAGCCTCTGTCACAGCTCTGTCATCAAGCTTCGTGGCGTCCACTCGGAACATGATCGATCGCACTGTTTTGACAAGCAAACACACGCAAGAGATCTGCACCAGGATTCATAAAACGAGCGTGCTTGTCAATTGCTTTTTCTATGCCCCTTTGACCGTTTCCTCGGCATAAGTTGGTGGATTATTTTACGTTCATTAATTAGGTACAATAAGTTTACATCTACAACCGATCTTCCCTCAAGGAGAAGGTCTGCACGACTACGATATCGCGGTTGTCACCGGCCCCCCTCTCGCCCCCTTGACTTGACTCCTTGGAGGCTTCAAAGGTCAGTTCTGTCTCGCTCTCGTTGTCGCGCTTGCCCTGCGACTCCCACACGCGGCGCTTACCCGAGGAAAACTTGTTCTGGTTCTCGCCCTGGTCACTGTTGCTGCCCAGCTCGTGGGCCTCGGTGTCGTCCTTGGCCATGAAGGTGGTGAGACTGAACGGCCCACGCCGTTGGTGGCGACTGGCGCTGCTGTTGTTGCTGACGTCCTTGAGGTGTCCGCCCATGGCGGAGGGGTTGCCGCGCTCCGAGTCGTGGAGCGCGGAGGGACCCATGGAGGTGAAGCCGAGTCGGTACCCGACCATGCGGAACAGCGGGCGGAGGGTCGCAAGGCTGCCCGCCGTGATGGCCAGACCCTGCTCCGTGGTGGACCAGATTGCAATATCTACGGTTGCATCTGCGGGAGCGCGAGTCAGTACCTTGACCAACCTTAAATTCGATCGTGGGATACCCCGATCGTGAGTGAAAGAGGAAGAAAGTGGGACTTACACAAGAAATCAATGTTTTTGAAGTCCTTGACGAAAGGCATGCGGACGACAACGGCTGCGCTGGCACTGGGGGAAAAGGTCAGCCGAGAGTTCCAGGCAAACAAGATTTCAGGGGTATCACGAACATGCAGGCCATGGCCATGATGGGAATCAACGCAATCTTCGTCTTGCGGTCCATCTTGAGCTTCCAGATCAGAATGATGGGGAGAATCGCAAAAGTGAAGTCGCAAATGACGCTGAAAGCGCTGTAGAGGTAGGTGAGGGCGATGATGACGTCCATGTTGATGCAGTGTCCGTCGGTTGCGCCGGTGTACTGCTCCCAAAAGAAGGAGATCGGTTGGCACTGGAGCAGAGTGACGAAGAAGAAGACGACGCCGGTGCAGACGGTGCAGAACATGACAAAGTAAATGATCCAGATGTCGATCTTTCGGACGGTAATTCGAAGCAGGAACCAGCCAATGGAGATTTTGGACGAGATCATCGACAGACAGTACCAGAGATAGCAAAACCACCAGAACTAATAATGCACATTAGCAATCATCCCTTGAGGCGATTAGCATATCCTCAGGAAATTTACCTTCATTGCGTCTGCCCGATCCTGTGCCTCCAATACCCAGTAATGACGCCCCGTTCCATAGTGAATACCCGTTAGTGCGCATGCAACGAAGAGAGCGAAGAAAACCTAAGAACCATGTCGTCAGTTCTGATCCAATAACAGATGGATGCAGATGAAGGGCTCCTTACCATAGCAGCCAACATGCAGTAGTCGTCGAATCCAAAGTTCTTGACGAGGCAGATTCGGGCATAGCATCGGAGGAGGATCGCTATGCCGGCGGCCGTGACGAGCGTTACGCCGACGGCGAACAGCTCGGGGCCGCGGTTCTCATTGTCTTCGGCCGTCGCCATCGAATCGAAAGAATTGAAGTCGTATGATGTCGATGCGATACTAGTAAACGCGGTCGAACGAACGAGTCGTGTCCAAGGAGGGACCTGGCGCCGAGAAGAGCCGCAACAAAATGGGACGGTTCGTTCTAGAGATTCTCCATTTCAAGAGGGACCGGACGAGAAGAGAAGATGGAGGGACCGGTTCAAGATATGGATATGCACCCCCGAATTTGGTAGTGGAACTTCCCACGCAACATGCCGTGCGTGCCTGCGTGTGATGTGTGCGGCCTGGCCCTGTCAGTCATGCCGTGAGTGGAAGGCCGAATGTGCGCGCACCCCTGGATCATCACACACACACGCAAGTGTGTGTGCAGACCTGCATCTTGCGGAATCCACGGTACACACCCCCCGGCAGGTTCCATCGGAGTTCGACCAGAGCCTTTCCTGTATGGGAGACCGATCTTCAGCGTTGGGCTGTGATGAAAGCGGGACCTGAATCCTTCTGGCTGGGCCCCCTCCCCTCTCCCCTAGATATCCTCGGCTTTCCATCCTCGAGGCTTTGGGCCTTTGGCTCAGAGTGTGTGTCCAAGATTCAGGGCCGCGGTTGTCAGCAAATGTCGGCAGATGGGGCATACCACATCTCGGGTAATCCAGCCTCACACACTATCAGCCAAGTCGGTCTTAGCTGGTGCTCTTAGTGGCCGGTGAAATGGCCATGTTCAGTTACCGTCCGACGAGCCCATTGTCTGGAATGGCTTCCCCCGCATTAGCTCCGAAAAGCGAACCTCGGGGATCCCTTCCGCCAAGGGGCTCACCACGCGTGGGAAGAAAAAGAACTGGGTCCCTCGGGCCCACGAGAGGGTCGTGATGGGTCCCCTCCTCAAACACCAGACAGACAGGACATTTTTTTCCGATCCTTTCTTGCCTCTCGCTTTACAGTTTACCAGCTTCCCACGAGGCTGGTGACAGGGAATCAAATCCACTGCGACGAGGACGAGGGGACTCGACGAGTTGAGTCGATTTGGGGGCCGAGTGCGGCGATGAATCGCCCGCATCTGGAAAAGCGATGGTGACATTCGCACGCTCCATCTATGCATTGATGGCTCTTGGCGTGCCAATTGTTTCTCTTAACAGCTTCCATATGAGAGGGGTCCGGAGGAGAGAAGCATATTCGCATCCTCTTTCATCCAAAGAGAGGCCATCTTCAACGGACTGGCCCCGGCATCAGTTGAGGGGTTCGTCGCGAATGCTTCCTTTTTGCACCGTCTTAGTTGCATCCCCTATGCAAGCAAGCCTGTCTTGTTCACACTGAACCTTTTCCTCAGTGTGGTGCCACTTTATTTCTCTTTTTGCGAAAGATGCGAAGACTTCGCCTTCAACTGCCTCTAATGAAAAGATCAGCTTCGCCGTTACCTAATCTTTTAATTCTTCAAGTGTCCAGCCGCAGCCGCCTGTCAAACGTGCGCCGCCCACATTATCTGCCTGTTCACCACAAAACCGAAGCAGCCATCTACAAATACGGTAAGCTGCACGCCAGTGGACGGAGGCGAGCTTCTCCGTCAGAACAAAATTGTTGCTAATGCAGGTTCAATGTTGGGAAGTGCACTAAAGAACTTTTAGCACAGACATTGTCTTCAAGGTGACAGGCACCGTGGCAACGTCGGCAATGAGACGGTGTTGGGAGGCCGGGCAGAAAAAAAAAGGAGGAAAAAGGCAATGTGGGAGGAGACGCGGAACGCGGGACACGGGAGGGAGAGTCAGAAGAAACGTGAACATGAACTACTCTCGATTCAGGAACTGATTGTCTCACCGGTCCGCTCCACTCGTATTGCGGTGCCATTGGCGTCCGTTTTTGGGGGCCCCGTCCGGGTCCAAGCCGTCCATCGGCTGTCTTGTGTGGTAGGCTGCAGCCATTGACACTCTCCGGCCCATCAGCCCTCTTCTTGTTTGTGCGTAGCCAAACCATTTCCTCGGGCTTCTTCGAAGAATTCCCGTGGAATTGTGGCTTGTTGTCGACCCGAGTGGTGAGACACCATGAGTTCATGACAGGCACTGACTGACTCTAAAATGACATGGTGCAGGGTCCAAAGCCTCGAAGAATATCCCCCGTGGCCGCCTCCAATCTCTTTTCTAATTCGGTGCCGAAACTTAGACTATTACCCAAATCCTCGTCATTGGAGCGGTGGTTTCATTAAGCCACTGCCAAGGTCGCCGACCGTCTGACAGCTCGACAGTTACCCTCACTTACCATCACCTCACGGTCTCACCAGTCTCCCACACACTTGGCTGTTATTCCCAGCAAGCTCGCTATTCCCAGCTTCCCATCCTGTCGGAATTCATCGGACAAATACCCAAAATCGCGGTCAACTTCGTCCGTTCCCACTTTTGCCATCGCATTGCGTCAGATTCACCCTTGTTCGTAAGTACGAGCAGCGCCCGGTTATCACGGATGCATGTCCGCTGGTCCCAATTAAACCAACAATGCCTGCGCGCACTGATATTTGGAGAGCAACCCCTTCGCCATCTGGTGGAGATAACATGCCGACCCCCAGCAAGCGATCTTCCATCGACTACTACTTCCATAAGGCAGGCCCAGCAGAGTCCCAACAGAGAACCCAGCAAAATCCTACAGAGCAGAAATTCAACTCGCGAATCGAAAGTCCAGTCTCTTGCTGCCCTTGTCTGTGGTGGTATCGAGGTATCGTTGGCGCTCCTCCGGTGACATGGCGTCCCAGATCCGGTCTCGCTGTCTGTTCCTCCAGACATAATAGACCTTAGCAGCCGCGTAGATCACCACGTTGAGGCTTGCGACTCCGACCAGCGCCCTATTACCACGGCGGTACTCCGGACGATCGTCTCGTCGGTAGATGTTGGCGCTGATGATGGATTGAAGCTGAACAGACATGTTGTAGAGCGCGGCCGAGACCGTTCTCGTTCTGACGGTGTTGGAGTTGCGGCTCGCCCAGCCAACTTGCCTTGTCAAGTGTCAAGGAAACTCCTAGAAAGGGTAGATGCATTGTCACACTTACATGGGATGGGGGGAGGGATAAGACAATAGTACGATTACCAACGCATATGTGGCCCATCTGCTGACGCCGGAGGGGATCACTGCAAGGGCAATAACACAGGGGAGCAGCCATAGCTCGACGAGAATGCCAAGCAATGCCCTCTGGTTGATCTTTTCTGAAATCCACGTCAAGATGAGCATCTATTGATGTTAATTCTCATTGAAAGTTCCGAAGAAACCCAAATTGTTTCTGCTCACATTGATTGTCGTTGCAACTTGGCAAGGGATACTAAGTAGGTTAGTGTCGAAGGTATCGAAGCCCAATTGTCTTAGAGTTAGAGTTAGGTATTGATCAGGTGGTCCGGCGGGAATAGAAAACGTAAGGCCGATCATGTAGATCGGCCATAGGTCGTAGTCACACAGCGATTCCCACAGCATCTTCAACGTTATGGCCTGGCGGTTGTGCATGTCGCTCTTGGACGGGTCATCTCGTAAGATGCGATTCACCATGATCTTTTCTTCATGCTCGGTGAACCATCCGTTGGGCCGCCAAAGCGCCTTTGTCTGTGTGGGAGACGGCACCATGATAAACACGGACCAGATCCCAATGACTAACGTCAGTACGCCTTCGAGAAGGAATAGCCTAAGCTCGGTCAACATCCGCATATCGGCAGTGTGAGAATGAAACCTCACCACCGCCATCCCTCGTAGCCATGGTACCCTCGAAGACGGAGAAGGCCGTACGCTAGTAACGGCGCAATGACATCGGTTAAACGATTCGCCATCCAGAACAAGGCCAAACGGAATGGCAGCTCAGTGCTCTTGAAAAAGTAGGACATGTACTAAAGTAGAGCAAAAGGTTAGCGGATGAATGCCGTTGGTGGCTGAATTAGGACATGACGTGGACGTACTAAGATGACATCGGGAATGAAACCGCCTTGGAGCAGCCCAATGATTGCACGGGTCGCCAGGAACGAAGACCGCCCGTTGAGCCAAAATTGGGAGGCGCTCACGATGCTCCAGAGGATCATTTGTGCAGGGATCCAACGATCGCTAGGCTTGCGTGTTAACAGCACGTCGCAGCATCAGAGCGGCAATTGCGTATGGGTATCAGCGTACGGTCCAATCTTCTTACTGATCAATTGACTCGGCAATTCAGCCAGCAAGAAGGAAACTCGGAACACCGTCTGACCAAGATTGTAGTCATTCGTGTCCAAGCCTAGATCTTCCAGAAAATTGTCCGTGTTGGCCTGGCTAATGTTGGATCGGTCTAGATCGAGTGCAAAAAACGCAAGGCAAGACCAAGCTGTCACACGCCAGTCAATCTTCCTGATCAGTGGTATCTCCTCAGCCCAAGTCCAGCGAAAGTTTGCATCGAAACGATGCCGGTTCTCGTATTTGTCTGACGGCTGGAAGTACACCGCTAGTTGGGGATCATCGAATACCGAAGGTTGAGTCGCAATATCACCGGGTCTTTTCGAGGTGGTCTGACGACGCCAGAGACTGGAAAGGTTAGTTGCCGGCCGTTGTGTCGCGCTTGAACCAGCCTGGTCTTCCAGGATACGTTGCCGAATGTCTCGCGTTGTCTCCGAGTCCGACGGCAGGGTCGTTTTCTCGTCCACGGCTCGCATGCCGATGCTGAGTACAGACGCGGTAACTGAGGTGTTCACGTTGCCTTTTGGGTCCATCGTATCGAACTGCGTTCGGATATTAAAGCGAAAGGTTGAGTAGCATGCGCTGCTTGGTGAGCGGGCTTTAAATTACTAAATTATGTATTGACGCTTTCGTTGGGACCGTCATTGAGCCGTCAAATAGCACACCTATTCACCGTTGGCCAGTGCCGCTCGATTGTGAATGTCTTTGTCGAATCTTCGTCATATGCAAATCTACTTTGCAGTCACATCATTGCGGAAGTGCGCCTTGTGGTTGGCCATGAATGACGGAGAACATCTTGGCAAATGGCGTCAAACGCAAGGGCGATGGTATATAACATCAAGTGATTGGAGTGACGGATGCTTGGGAACTGGATATGATCGTCAATTTGACGATGTTCCAGTCCCTCCTGTCTGGGCAGTCTGTTTGACTTCGCTGCAGACCACGTGCATGTTCCACGTCTAATTCAGCTCACGCTTTCGAAGTATTCTCTTCACTAGAAATCTCATCATCTCAGGTCCAGTCTTCTCAAATTATACAGGGTAAGCTATGATAATACTCTCATGAGTGATGCATCGAGCTCATAAAAGCCAAGGCTAGGTAGGTAGGTCGGAGTTGATGGTGAAATCGTGCGGAGATATGGCAACACCTTCCTACTTCTTGGCAGGTGGCAATCCAAGCTCACATAATCATTCGATCTCAGTCCTCATGCAGGCTTACATATCGTATTGCAAAATAGTTCTGTTCCGAGAAACACCAGGCATAGCTTTGTACTGAAAATTGATAATAGCTAAGGTGCTCACGTCGTTCCGCATTTATGCATGCTGAGTATATAGGCTCGCCTGCTGCGTTGTTTTGAGCACTAAAAAGTTGAGGAGAACAGTAGATAGTTTTCTTTCACACTTCTCGAGTCGAGGGATTGATGTCGTTACTTGAGATCACCAAATTCTCTCGGGTACCTGTCGATGACGAGGCTACCTGTGGGAAAGACTTGTCCGCAAGCTTGTCAGTTGCGACCATTTGGGCCACGCTCTCTGTATCGCTAGTTCTCGCGCGTTTTTTGCTCAAGCGCGTGAGAAGAGGCCGTAGGGTAGCCAAAGAAGCGCAAGTAATGGCCGATGTCAGCTCTGCGAGAGACCAAAGAACAGGTTCGAAGTTGGACCATGTTGGATCTGGCAAAAGCGTGAGGAACTTGATTCTCATAGCGGATATTGCCACAGTCCTTGGAATAATCGATTACAGTCAGATTTCAGACTGGCAAGTGAGGTCGATTCGCTGGGAAGGGCAACTTACAAGAAGCCGACGCTGAAAATACCAATAAGGAAAGCTTTTTGTGAACCGGGAAGATTCAGCTTGCGGATGACCGGGAGAGGAAGAACCATGATAATGATGTCGGTGACTATGTTGAACAGCGCGCTGATGTACCAGGCAATGTGGGCATTTGGAACACACTTTGCATGAACGCTAGGGTTCCAAAATCCTTCCAGAGGGATGCATGCAACAAGTGCAAATGTTCCTTGTCCGATGCCCCAGACCGCTACCAACACAATCATGGCAATGTAAACAACACGCATGTTCGAAACCGACATGATGCGGTAGTACTGGAAGAGGAACACGAGTTTCACAACAGCGAGAGTCGTGATATAGAGAAATAGGGACACAAAGAAAGCCTACCCAGTGTCAGCCGATAAGAAAATATACAAAACAGACCTACGTACCCGCTGGTATAAAATAAGATCTTCTGGCGATAGAGTCGAAGCATGCCGTCCCAGCCCATATCTAGTCACTGAGAGGAACGTATTTATCAATATCGTCACGGTTGCCGGAGGTTTCCGTGCAGGTCAACTTACTTTGAGTGATGCTGATTCCGCAAGCAAAAATCATTGACTGCCTGATTGTTAACTTTCCATGGCCAATACCCAGCACATTTGAGAACTGACCAATGCCAAAAGGGCTACCCAGTCGTCGGCCCCCCATTGATGAATTCTCGCACGTGTCCATGATCGCAGGAATACCATTAAACCCGACAAAAGTAGCAAGAAGGCGACGACGCCATATGCCACCGAAGACTTGTCTTCCAAAACATGCGGTGGTGAGTCACTCATTTTCGTTGCAAAGGTTTGATCGGCAAATGAATGTGAACCTGCATTGTCAAGCAACTTTTGGAACATGATGACCGGTATGATACGTATAAAAAAGAAACCAAACAATAGGATTGACGAGCCTTTTTCTTTGATCTGATTACCTAAAGTCATCAAAGAAAGCGTAGACAACTAGGCGAAAGATGTGGAAGCCTAACATTGGAGGCGGGCCTATTACAGTGCAGTCCAACAGCCTAGCGCCGAGTCATTTGAACGGACATGGTTAGCAACGGCTGTGTATAGCCGCCACTTACACTGACGACGAACTGATGGGATGCGATCTAAGAAGAAAGTACCGCACGCAGTCAAGTGTGCGCCGGGAATCGCTTTCCCAAATCTTATGCTCAAAGCCGGCTTGTAAAAGGAATCCAGCCATGTCAGGATTCATGCAAAGACTGATGGCTGCGCTCCAACTATCAGCCATCAGCCCTAGACGTCGAAGGCGTCTCACACGCGATCCTCTTAGAAGTATCAGGAAGTTTTGTTTCAGTCTCAGCCTGCCCCGGATGGACTTGTACGGCATGCCAAACCGTAAGAAAGACCGGTAGCACGTGTTAGGCACGTTGGGCAATACTTTGTCGCTAATAACGGCTTGAGTGAGTTGGCCGCAATCACACAGGCCATTGACACGAACAGATTGAGATTCATTAATCGAGTGTAACGTAATTCAAGTCTATGTCTGAGTATATTGGAGACAACAGAAAACAAAAAGCATATTGGAAGCTAATCCTCTGAGACAACGCTGTTGTGCTAAACCGACAACATGTTGTCTTCCTCGACTTGTAAGAGATGGGCGAGTGCCCAGTCCTGATCATTCGCATACGGATCCTTGTAGTGTCCGGCTCTCCCGTTCACGGACGTGGGATAAATCCAGGCGCAGGACCCTCTTCCTTCAGGGGTAAAGAGTGCCATGTTAGCTCGAAGGATCCCGTCGGCTTGTTTCTGAGCCCTTGCATCTCCAGTTGCCTTGCTCTGGTGATGCAGGGCAATCGAATCCAAAGTACTCCAATAGTGAGGAAATGTATCCCCCCACATGCGATCTTTCCCAAACCAATGCCCGTCCCAGTGTCGAATGGCGACGTCATGAACTCTGTAGTCCGGCTGCTTTCCGGCGAACCTGAGAAGAACCTCTAGTTGAGCCTGGGCGCCATCAAGCCAAGTTTTATCCCCTGTTGATCGATACAGTTCGAACAGAATGTTCGCTGCAGGCGCAACAATAGACTGCTCAAAATTAACTTCAAACGGGGGATAATTCGTTCCACGCCTAAGGATATTGTGCCCGTGCCCGATGAATAGATCTCTGGCTCGCCCAAGTGACTTCTCGTCCCCTGAAACCTGAAGCATTCGAAGTCCCTCGAGTACGGGCAGCCCAATAGCATAGAGTGACTCGCCACCTTCAGCATAGAAGTTCTCAAGGGTCATCATGAACCTCTCCATGGGAGCTTTACCCAAAACGGCCGGGATACCGATTGCAGCAGCTACCAAGTGAAGTTGCAGAACCCATGGCCAGTTGTAGAGGCGCTTCCGGTTGCTAGTACCTGTCCCAACTGGCGCGTCGTAGACGAACCCGTTCTTGTCTTGAAGCTTTGTGCATACGAAGGAGTAGTACGCCGAAAATGACTCCTGCAATCTAGCATCGGGATGTTTCTTCAGCCATCGACCAATCAGAACACCCATCCCCACTCGCTCGCGCCCTGCGTTTCGATCCTGTTGAGTCTCGTAGAACGGGGGCGCCTCTGCTTGGTTGTCGAAGACGATGTAGGCACCATATAAGAAATCATTAGTGTCCATGACTTGTTGGTGATCGACAATGAATCTGATTCGACTTCTAATCAGGTCATCGTAGCTGGGGACCGTGTTCAAGAAGATGAGCGATTCTCGTCGGTCGTTCCCCTTTCCGGTAGAAATCCGCAATGTCTTCTCGCCAAAATCTCCTGCATCATGAACGAAATGGAAGCCGTCTTTCGTCTGTAGCACCTCTCGTCCATTAACTGTAGTTGTGGAGTTGACGGCCTTTGAACTACCTCTCATCCGGATAGTGGCGCTCTCCCCTCTGACGAGAGTGTGTTTTGGGATGTCGAAATGGATGAACTGACTCGAACGACGGGCACATTGAGAGAAAAAGTCGTCCCAACCGCAATGCCAGAACAAGGTCCACTCGACGACACTGGAGTCGCCCGGCTGCAGCACCGGGATGGACGGGTGAAGAAGAAAGACGCCCCGAGTGTTCGAGTGGGTTACTTCATCTCGAGACTCAATGCTGTATCCCGACAAAGCTCCTCGCGTCAGAACGAGGCCTAAGTCACGGCCGCGACCGCCCATTTGACTAAGCTTAACCCATGATGAACAGCCTCCATGCGCCCAGACATGTGCATGCGTCCGGTTTTCCAAGGAATCAGTGGTGTTGGTGTAGTGGTCGTTGAATGGCGTGTAAATCGCCAAGGACTGCTCGCCTTTCGCAGCTAGATTAAGCGATGATGTTCCCCTGTTCGTGAACTCGAAGGTTTCTGTGAAGGAACCATTTTGACTGTCAAGACGACGGCGCACAAGGACCTCTAGTGGGCCGTAACAGTATTTGGCGTCCGTGGCATTGTGCTCAGCCGAGGATTCGATGTGCGGACTGTTCCAGTGCACCCGATGCAGTAAATTGGCACCAAGGTCCGCGAAGCCTAGTCCCCAGCGACTCCCCAGTGGCTGCCAGGGTGCATTAGCTGGGGAACTGACCCAGTTGAGTGGAATGTCGGCAGAAGGGTCCACAATCTCTAAGACAGCGCCCGTCATTCGGTCAATGTGGACCGTAAAGTCACCATTCAAGAGGTCAATCGTTCGTACCATGATGGCAAGTCGGTCGTGGGATGCACAATGCTAGGTGTTGTCTAGAAATCGTCGGCTGCATGAGGGTGAAGTAGCTGTCATAGACCAGAGTTGCCACGTGAGCTTTTGAAAAACCTGCTGAGACATCGGACCATGAGACGAACAGTGATGTGTCCGTCACAGTTCCGGGCGCCTTAGCGGGGGTTCCCGTGCAACAGAGGCGCTACGAGCCAGCGGGCACACGAATCATGTGCTACAATAGCCGGCAGCTTGGCGCAGTTGGGATTAAGCTTTGCTATGACTTGCATTTGTACGGATACCGAGCAGCTAGCTGCCTGTAACTGAAGGTTTTATCAAAGCCGTTCCGTGGAGCGAGCGATACCACGCATGCAAGGCTCAATCTATCTACTCTGTACCTTATCAACAGCGAGCTCTACCAGACCATGGAAATCATGTTGGGACACGAGAGTCACTATTGTTTCTGGATTACAGGACTGTGCTTGGCACATCCACCGGCTTCCTGAAACTGGAGAAATGCTGGGTCTGACAGAGTCGTTGCACACCGTTCCCGCCGTGTCGATCTTCTGCTATGTGCGATCTGCGACATCTTGAGGATAGACGGAGTCGCAAGGGACTGATTGGGTTGAATATCCATTCATGATTGCAAAACAACTATTTTGATACTCCATCTGACTCGACTACAACATGAACTCCTTCGAGCATGGATGAGACAAAATGAACCAGGAGTAGTCATGGCCCTTCGTAAATACGGCTGCTTCTGGTCGAATGACTTCTGTGAAATACTCGGCTCGCGCCAGAAAACTTGATAAATGGGCAACGTCGGTTCTACATTGTCACATCCTAACCGTTAAGTGCACTCATCTCGTTTGTGCCTTCTTAATTCTTCCAACTCAACTGCGATTCATTTCAACGCCAACGCTTTCTCGCTTCACAATGCAGTTCTCGAACACAATCGTCGCAGCGTTCACTCTGGCACTCGCCACGTTCAGCGCAGGTGTGAACGCCCGATGTGGACCCCGGGACGGTCTATGCAGCGGGGAGCTCAGCTTCAGATGCTTCGATGTCAGCGCAAACACACCCGTGTGCTGTGACACCATTGACTGCATTGAGTAGCATGTCATCCAACTGTACGTTATCTGCGATGAGGCGCCTGCATGTTGATTCTGTTTGCTTGAATGTATTAACTCACAGAACTAGGTCACCGCTTCAGCGTTGCTTGTTCTCAATATCAGGGGAGGATATTCTATTTAGGCATGAATAAATATGATATATGCTTGTTCCATCCCTTTTATCGTTTACTACTCAATCCCATGTGGATGTTGCAGTGCGTGAATGAGGCCCGAACGAACGGGCCTGCCAATCACGAAAACATGAATTAGGCATCAGCCGAGTATTCATATGCCTAAAGTCTGTAAGCTCCTGCCTGAGAATATTGTGAAATGGCGTCAAGAAACGAACCAGATCATGCCAAGCAACGCCTGCGTACTCAGAGGCGCTCTTGCCGTAGTGCGTGAAGCCTAGGGCTTGATAGTAAGGCAAGAGTCTGTCGTAGGTAAGGATTGAGATCCTATCCGCCTGGCCGTTCTGCCTCATGTACTTAATGTAAGACTTCATGAGCTTCTTTCCAAATCCAGATCTCTGGTAAGGTGGCGACACAGCCAATGAGTGAAGAGCGATGGTTCTTCCTTCGGCCTGATGACCAACACCGTACTGGGCAGTGGGATCCGTCTTCCAGGTCGGGGGGAAAGACATGTCCTCATCCTTGACAACTCGCGACGTTGACTTCGTCGCTATTACATGCGCAATGAGCTTGTCATTGCCGGAACCAGTTGGAGGAGCAGTGAACACCGGGATATCTCCCTCAGGTTTGGCGATTGTCGAGTTCTCAGGGACAAACAAACCCAAGCAAAGGTCGGGACAAACACTCAGGCGATAATCGATCTAGGACAGCGACTCAAACGTCAAATTAAGGTAGAAATGTGAAGAACGGAGAAGCGGGGAATAAGATGTCTGCGAGATCGTCTTCGGTCCAGAGATGGTTACGTACCTTTTCGCGAGTTGCTGCCTCCGCAGGCGGGAAAGCCGCTGATTCAACGACGGAGCATCGGTCTAGGTCATCAATTGACAATACTCGAATGTATGCAGCCATAATGTAAGATGAGTCTCGTTTGGATAAGTTTACGGAGAGTCTTGTGCGGTTAGGTGCTTGGTGAACTTGAGTCTTTTCACGTTCCGTAGTTGAGTCATGTTGAGTCATGTTAATGGAAGAGAGCTCAACACGCGGGGTCTTATGGCGGACAGTCCCCGATAGGGCCAGGGGTCCACCGAAATCCTAAAGAAGGGGCCCTATCATTGGGCTGCCACTTTAGGTCCTTTGCAGAGGCAGTGGCTTGTGGTGGCTAGTGTTGAGGGGTACAACTCCAAAGTTGCTCGGTGCAGTTTTGATTGTGCACTGTATCTTTACTGGGCAGGATATATCACTTGTACTGTGAGAGACCCTTGTTTCTTTTGAAGTCCCCATCGAGATGATATTTATTGAAGTCAAAGTTGGTTCGGTTACGAACATCGCTGGACGAATGTCTCCTTAGCTGCTGTGTTCCTATTCGACTATATCATTGTTCTGTATGAATACTTGACGCAGTGCCTTTGGAAAGGGACATACAACGCACAAAACGAGGACCATTGGTTGATCTGGTTTCCATGACGGGCTTGCCTCACTACTCATTTGGGAACCGTTCCCTAAGTGTACGGTGTCTAGATCAACCCTCTCCCGTTACTCCTTAAAGGACCCGTCGCATACTGCACAGGGGTCTTCGAGCTCGGGTCGGATCTGAATTGTGTTCTAGAGGCCGCAAGGGCATAGTCTAGGTGGCCAAGCGCGCGGGTCGGGACTTACAAGCAAAGAAGGCCCGAGCATTATTGGTTTAGTCAAATCTTGATTACCAATGTTAAAGCGCCACAGCTGAATACCATTTCCATGCTGACAACGTTGCGCGCGGTAACTCCTTGCTCGGAGCCCTTTGGTTGCACTCTCGCTGTCGTAGAAGCCAACGGACTTGACGCTCCGAACGCAATAGGACCAATCTTGTTCTTAGATAAAAAGAGACAGAGTCCATCAAAATGCAAAGGGAGACAACAGTATACCCTGAAGACCGTCCGTATTCAGCAGCAAAGTCACGCTCTCGTGTCCGAAATCAAAGCTTTCATCGTATTGGGGGCTACTGGCCGCCAAGGTGGTGCCGTTGTCGACGCATTGTTAACGCATGCCGAAATCAAGATTCTCCCAATTCAAGTTTACGCAATCACTCGACAAGCAGCCGGAACCGGTGCTGATCGCCTACGAGAGAGGTTCCGTGGAATCAACATTATTGTTGGGGATTTGGGCAACCCCAATGCCATCTTCGAACAACTCAACCAAGAAACGTTGAGTCAGTCGGAAGTTTTCCTAGCCCAAGCCCATGGACCAACCGAGCTACCAGATGGAAAGGCATTTATTGACGCCGCAGTGGCCCACGGCATACCTTACTTCGTGTATTCATCTGTGGACCGCGGTGGACGCGAACTGAGCGACGAGGACCCCTCATACTGCAAGATATTTTCAGACAAGTTCTACGTTGAACGGCACCTGAAAAATGCGTGTAGTTCTAAAGAGGTCGGAACGCATAACATGGACTATACTATCATTCGCCCAACTTGGTTTGCTGACAACGCCTGGTGGGGATTTCCCGGCCAGGTGTGCATGACTGGATGGAGAGATAACCTGGGAGGGAAGACATTGCAAGTTACGGTCACGAAAGACATTGGCAGATGGGCGGTCGAGGGTCTGGTCAGGCCCGACAGAACAGGCATACGAAACCAAGCTCTTTCAATTGCAAGTGATGAGATCAGTTTCGCCCAGGCTGACGCGGCTTTCATCAAGCATACCGGCAGGGGTGTTCCAGTCACAGCAGGGCTTTTGGCAAGAGGTATCATGTGGTTGGTCAAAGATTTGAACACAATGTTCAGATTTATCGGCGATAGAGCTTATGGGGCCGACATGTCGTGGTTGAAGACTCAACTAAAGCCAACAACGTTTTACGAATGGGTTCAGAGCGAAGTACCAAAACAGGCTTGACGAATGGATGATTGCATTTGCCCCTAAGTAGACACAAACAAAGACTTTTGGAGAGAAACTCAAATTTATGGAACACACAGTAATTCTTGCGGTTCCATTTTGACAGTCACAGGAGGTCAGCAGGTGAAAGGTTAACGAAATATCTGTTGCATTTTTGAAGAATCAGGTCGCGTCCAGCTGCTGACAACGAATGCTATGTCGGTATTTCTATACCCGGCTTTGGCTTCCGAACAGTCTCCGCGTCCGCAAACATGAGAAGTGCCGAGCCGCGTGATGTATGTCGATGAACTATACCATAGTTCACTTGCTTATTGCCCAGAGAACCCAACAATGCCTTTGCATCAGAATTGGAAGCAGCCTCCCGCAACTGAGGAGGATCAAATGCTTTCGCTATCTCCAGAGGAGACAGGGAGACCAGCCGGCCCAAGTTGGCGAAACCATAGAATAAGGGCGTGATCATGAGCCCCGTAAGAAATGTTATGGCAGCAGCGGCATAAAGGTACGAGTGGTTGGCGATATAAATGGTGGAAAGTCCCCTATGTTCGCCCTGAAGCGGCTGCTTCTGTCCAGGGAGCACGTAGTCTTCGTCCAGTGAAGACTGAGATCGTCTTCTCTGGTAGTCATCAAGAGGCACTTCCACAGAGGCTCGGAACATGAGTTCTCGAACAGCTTGGAAGACCCATGGTGCTGGATCCATGAACGCTGGAGCACAGCTTCCACTCAACATTGATGTGCGATAACGGGCTAGCTCAAATGACAGCAAGCCCTCCGCTTCTTGCTTCCACCTGCCGTTCTCCATTCTCATGCTTACTCGCGAGGAAAATCGTCTCACAAGTAGTGAAGCAATGCCCCCAAAAGTCGAGGATCCCTGAGTTGTGTTGACAGGCATGTTTGGATCAACATCATCTCTCATCTGCTGATCAGTCTCAAGGGAGACCGTTTTGTCAGACTGGTAACCGTAGTTCGGATCAAGAGAGAGAGTTCCGTTGATGACAATAATAGGGTAGTCTACGATCGCAGGCCGAAGTGTACAATGTTGAGAGACCAATCTTATACTTTTCGTGTCGCTGGGGCAGCCCGTCTCGGCCTTCCAAACAGAGTCGTACGTGAAATCTCGAGGTATATCCTGCGTGACAGGGTTGGCGGTTGACCCAGGTGACGTGACAGTGTAATCGGGATATTCGCTGTACCGGATGGCACTCGAAAATACTTCGGTTGATTGATTGTATGCTCCATTGGCATCGTGGAGAGTCGGCAGCTCAGTTATGGACACTGCATCGCAGCTAATGGAGAACCCAGCTCCTCTGAGCCAACCAGCGCATGTCCCATCGCAAAATACAAGATCCTCTCCGATTGCTGCCCTATTCTCCAAGATGATTCCTGGGTAGTAGAAGTATCGCTTTGTCAAGTCGCTGAATGTTTCAGTCGGATATCCAATGGACTTTGTGTCGTGGTCCCAGATTCCAGAATAACCGCGGGGCAACTGCTGAATCATACGGATCTCGCCCAGATCAAAGCGGCCCTCGAAGGTTCCGTGCCCTGGAGTCAACGCCCTCTGTATTAGCGGGGAGTTGATGGCGACTATCGTGGCCATAATGCTGGCAATAGCGGCGATGTTGGGTCCCCGTGAGACGACTTCTTGCACTGCGTCAACAAAGCCTTGTCCAACGATCCATCGGGCGTGCAAATCTCGGACTGAAGTTGGTTCCTCTATGCTCCTTCTCCACCATGAAATCGCGATCCCCTTGGAAAGCGCAAGCTGGAGTAGGATGTTTGCGGCTGTTGCAATGATGGCAGCCAGCACAGTGGGAGATACTTTCCAAGTACCAGTAGCAGTGCCGTCGGCAACAAGAACGACAACTATCATTGTGCCGGAAAGCACCCATGTCATGATGATGGACAGAGCAGCGAGACACGGTATCCGTTTCCAACGGCCAGGTAGCCATCGGTGAACTGTTTGAGACACAGAGTCGTCGTTGATACTGGTGTTGGACCTGTCATCCTCGTGGGAAACGAGTGGTTCTTTTGCCCCTCCATTGTCCACATTGCATCGCCACGCAAAATCGTTGTTCACTGTCTGTCCTAAATCGCGTGACGACATAGCGACTTTTGCTGTCGGTTCGAAGTCGAGTGAGGGCAGGAGGAAATGACTCGAAGCTCAACAATCATCTTCTTGCGGCTTCCGATCAAATGTAGTCTGCGAATGCCTGTGGGAGTTGCGCATGTTGTGGAAATAAGAAGCGAAAAGGGTCGGAAGCCAGGCCGCTGGCAAAAGTCTGAGATGCAATTTATTGAGCTGGGCGGGTGGGATGGCGATCTGCCCCCGACGGCGCTGAAAATCAGGCACCAGTGAGCCAGGTTGCGCCCGAAGCCCCTCTCATTTCAGCCATCTAGTTTCGCACGCCAAGAGAGGCACAGGAGGCACAGGAGCCACCTCACGAAGCCATGGAACCACACGACCAATTAGCAGCATTTCTTATTGCGCGCTTGTTTCTTAAGATGGCGCTTCAGAAGGATCGTACACAGAGGCTGATCTTCAGGGGCACATTCTAGAGTCAAGTCGCTGGGGTTGGGTTGAGCAACCCCGTCCTTCTTCGCTGCCCTCGTCAGAATTTGAGTACCAACAGCAGCCTGTTCCGAACATTAGCTACCCATGGTGGGTTCATAATGAAAGCAGAAAGAACCGTTCTTGTCTCGGTTTAGACGTGATCTTGGACAATCAGACGAAAGAGGAAATCGTATCTACTAGTAGGTATGCACACCTGCCCTCCACAAAAATGCACGCTGCCGTCCTATGACGACTGTTGGCATTGTACTGAGCAGTCGGGCAAAAGAATGCCACCGATGGCGATATTTCACTGAAGAATGAATTTGCTTCAATGAAGTAGCACAAATGGTGATTAAGGTAAGACAGACTTGGATTGTAGGACAACAAGGTCGACAGACTTCTCAAACCCTCTCGACCTGATCCAATTTGCTTGACAGGAAAACTCCCTTTGTACTTCATTTTTATCCTCACTGCACCCTTAATCCTGCTCAAATTTGCCGTGGAGATGGATGCAAGTTATCTCAAGAAGTCAATCGAGCTGGATATTCCAAAATGGCTCTGGGCTTTTGTGGCCATGGGATTCATGAGCACGGCACGTTTGGGAATATCCGATTTCACACCGCTGCACCACCACAACCTCTATTGTCCTACAAGCGCCCCGGTTCGAAGCCCACTTAGGCACTTGTGATGGGAGCAAGTGCAGGGATTGGTTATGGCATCGCAGAGGAACTGGCAGGAAACGACCATGTCTTGACAATCATCTTGGACGCAAGGGTTGCAACACCAGAGGAGATCAGAGCCGCCATCGAGAACACCATCACGAACAGAGAGTTGCAGCTCTCTATTCTCGTCAGCAACGCGGGTTCAAACCCGATTGCGCAGCCTCCTTTCCGCCCACTCGTATCCTATTCCGCCCACGACGTAGATGCAGTCATCGGTTTAAACTCGAGGTTTATGGCACGGCTGACGGCAGTCGTACTGCCTATCCTGAGTGAAATAGACTATCGGGATAAAACGAGCGATGGAGCCGAGCCGCAGCGCTCTCTCATACTGAACATCGCATCGGGGGGTACGTATGGCAGCCCTTGGCTTGTCATGTACGGTGCAACCAAAGGCTTCAACTGGGCCTTGAGCAACGCACTTGCAATGGAGTTAGAAGCCGAACGCGAGACTCAGAACGTGCATTGCTTGTGTGTTGTGCCTGGGGATGTGAAGAGTCAAGGGAATTCGTTATGGGTAACGAAGGGGTCTCCAGACTCCAGCACTTTTGGAAGGCTAGTAGTGAGTCGAATTGACGGCGCCATTTCCATAGGGTGGCGGGAAATGAGACCCTACTGGCTCCATGACTTGCAATGTTATTTGTTGCGTGTCATTCCGGAGAGCCAAAGACCAGGGCGTTGGTTAACGTGATGGGAAATAAGATAGAGGCGTTCAATAGCGTCTACAGGAAAGTTGCATAGGTCAATAGAGTACTCACCCGAGTCTCAAAGTTGACGTTTGAATGCCGTCCTTTTCGGTTTGCGATAGTACGATGTTGAATACATCCTCGAGAGACTCAAGACGACTTTCCTCCGTGTCGCATGCTTTCACAAACTCTGTTTTGCCGCCCAAATTCTGCTTCACAGTACCATTGACCAACATCTTCTTGCCGTAGATCTCCTGCTCATTGCTATCGCTGGAAGCAATTGTTCGCCGCAGAAACTTCACGACGAGGAGGTTGCGGACCTGGTTACTGTCGGGATGTGTGCTCATCCAGTGATTGACGACGCCCCAGTCAGGCTGTAGAAATTCGATTTCCGCAAAGGCATAAAACGAGTTCCACTGCTGAGAAGGATTGTTACGGTATTGGTAAATCCACTGTTTGCTGGAGTCTACTCGATGCGCTTGCGTAGGTAGCCAATCCTTCGCAAGACGTATTTGTTGCGTTCCGAGATTCTTGTGAACAAGGCCTTCAATCAATGGCATTGGTTTTGTTGCACCGTCGCCGCCAAACGCAACGTCTGAATGGTATTTGGAACCATCTGCGAATGTCACAATGTTTACAATATGACCCCTGACGAGGCGCGGTGTTAGAGGGAGCTAGATTTGGTACCGGATATGGACCGGATATGATGAATGGGGGCCTTACCAGCCTGGGAAGTCGCCCTTTGGCACGCCCTCAATGCGTGGTCGAGTTCTGACACCAGCGGTGTACGCATCAAAGCCCAGAGCCCGCAGGATGTGGTTGTATAAAATCGCGATTTCCATGCAAAACCCTCCGCGTCCGCGCTTGTCGGTGACCATTTTCCTGAACAGGTGTTGAGGATCGAGACTGATGTTGTGTGATGGGTTATAATGCAAAGACAAGTTTTCGTAAGGCAACGTTGAGATTGTGTGGATGTGAAGCATCGTCAACAACTCCGGAGTAGGCGGTTCATGGCGGCATCGTTCAGGAACGCCAATGCATTCTAAGTAAAGACTGACTTGGTCTGGTGAATACGCCGAGGTCATCTTAGCAATCGCGAAACACGAAAAACAAGGCAAAGGGCTGCAAAGCTGCAAAAGCGCGTCCAGAACATGCGATTGAGTTCGGAACGGTGCCATGGTAAATATACATGTGATCCAATCCCGTCCGTGACTCAGGCCGTGAGTCAACAGCTGGGCCGTGTCAATCCGGCGGTGTCGTGACCGAAGTCCCGGATGTTGCAATAAGACGGCAATATCACCTCGGCTCGTAGCGTAGTGCCGAGCATGTCCGATGATCGGGAGATGCGCCGCGAGATTTAGCGGGTCAGTCTGCTGAAACCCCGGATCTCTTGTCGGTCTACGTGTCAAGTCGAGGACTGGGTCTAACTCGAAACAGTAATAGCCGAGGCACTTCTCGCGCGCGCGCGTCATGAGAACACTCCGAGAGACGGAAGACGCCCCCTGATGAGCATTAGACTTCACGAGTAGCCGGCACGGCCGAGGACGGGATTTCTACAAAATCTTATCGGTGCCATTCTGAGACCTCCATTTCCCCAGACAGTTCCTGCAGTCTTCATCCCACACTCCACAGCCTCCGCAATCACTCAATCACCATGCCAAATACCCCGGATTGGGTCAAGAAGCTCCAGCCCTCTGGGCCCCAGGGCACAGAGCTCCTGGCTCAGGAGAGGGCAAAGTCCAACCTCAATGTCGACCAGCTCGCCACTTTCATGTTCACCAACGAGGCTCTCGAGCGCAACGAGAGGATACTGAACATCCTCAAGGCCGATCCCGTTTTCGACAAGACGCAAAACTACTTCCGAGGCCGCGAGAGCCGCATTGAGGCTTCGCTGGCAAGAGGAAAGAGGCTATTCCAATTGAACAAGCAGCACAACTGGTCCCGCGACGAATACCAGGTTGCCAATGAGCTCATCAGCGAGCCCACGCCTTATGGCCTGCACGCCAGCATGTTCCTCGTTACCCTCCGCGAGCAGGGTACTCCGGAGCAGCACAAGATTTTCCTCGAGCCTGCCGAAAACTACGAGATCATCGGATGCTATGCTCAGACTGAGCTCGGCCATGGCTCCAACGTCCGCGGCTTGGAGACAACGGCAACATGGGACCCTGCCGACAAGACCTTCGTCATGCATTCCCCCCACCTGACAGCCTCCAAATGGTGGATTGGCTCTCTCGGAAAGATGGCTACCCACGCTGTGGTTATGGCCCAGCTAATCATCAACGGCAAAGCCCTCGGCCCTCACCCATTCGTTGTTCCTATTAGGGACAAGAACAGCCACGAGCCTCTACCGAATGTGCACGTCGGCGATATCGGCCCCAAGTTCGGCTACAACACAATGGACAACGGATTTCTGTTGCTGAACAACGTCAAGATTCCACACAACCACATGCTTGCCCGCTTCTCGTCCGTCGACCCGCAGACAAGCAAGTACAGTAGGCCCGCAAACCCATCTCTGGTTTATGGCACTCTCACTTGGGTGCGCTCGAACATCGTCCTCCAAGCAGGCTCCGTCCTGGCTAAAGGTGTTACCATTGCCACCCGCTACTGTGCTGTTCGCCGGCAATTCCAAGACCGAGACGCACCTGCGAACGAACCTGGTGAGAATCAGGTCCTCAACTACACCATGGTACAGATCCGACTGTTGCCACTTCTCGCCGCGACATTCGCGCTGCACTTCACCGGTCGCGGTATGATCAACTTGTACAACGAAAACCAGAAGCGCATGAAGGCCGATGCTGGCAAGCTCAGCGATTCTACCCGCAACCCGGGCCCTGAAGAGCTGAACCCCGGAACGGATTTGCTTGCCGACCTGCATGCCACATCTTGTGCCCTGAAGGCATATGGCTCAACCGTTGCGGGTGAGGGCCTCGAAGTCTGCCGTCGTGCCTGTGGCGGCCACGGCTACTCATCTTTCAGCGGAATCGGCAGCTGGTACGCTGACTATCTCCCAACACTGACCTGGGAGGGCGACAACTACATGCTCACGCAGCAAGTGTCTCGTTACTTGCTGAAGTCAGCACGTGCGGTACTCAAGGGTAAGGCTGGAAACAACGATACCACAAAAATCCTTACCGAGTTCCTGCGCCGCCGCGATATTGGTGCGGCTTTCGACGTGCTAGGTTCTGACGAGGACCTGGTGTCAGCATTTGCCTGGCGTGTCTCGTTCCTCACTTTCGAGGCTCTTCGCCACAGAGATGAGGACAAGCAATCCTGGAACAGTTTGCTCGTTGACTTCTGGCGCCTCAGCACCGCACACGCTCAGTACATGGTGGTTAAGAACTTCCACCAGGCGCTGAACGACAAGTCTACTACCGATCAGCTTGACAAGGACACCGTTGGGCTTCTGCACAAGCTGTTCAGATTGTATGCCCTGACAACCCTCGAGCGTGAGGCGAGTGAGTTCTACAGCTCGGCGGCTGTGACCGTCCGCCAGATCACCCTTGCGAGAACTAAGGCTGTAATGACCTTGCTTGAGGAGATCAGACCTCATGCCGTGCGGTTGGTCGACGCGTGGAAGTTCGACGATTGGGTACTTGACAGCAGTCTTGGCAGATTTGATGGAAAGGTTTACGAGGACATGTTCAAACGGGCCAGCGAGGACAACCCGTTGAACAGCGTCACCTTTGACCCTTACCCGAACAGCAAGGTGCTGTTCAAGAAGGACGAGAGAAAGAACCTGAGAAGCAAGTTGTAATTATGGTACAGGTTTATAGACAGACGGTCGTTTAGAACTAGAGTTCCTTTTTGTAGAGAGTGGTAGACAATTGGTTTCGCTCGGCGCTGGGGTTCTGTAGACTGGTATAACATTGAAGAAGCTTTGATTGGTCATGTACAACTCGCCGTAAATGGTGCACAATTTCTCTGCTTCCAGTCCACATTATATGGTATGGTATCATCAAAGCTCTCGTTCAAGTTACCTGTACGGATCACATCGAAAACGCAACAATTTGTGGCCACAGAGCGTTGAAACCTCTGCGATCAACCTACTTCCACACTGGGTTTGGTATTGCAAACCTACTGGACAGACAACACAAGACAACCATTCGACGGGGCTCAAAGCAAAAGTAGCTGCAATTCTCAGTTTGGCTCGAAACACCAAACGATTTCTTCAGCAGAAGTAAGCTTGACTTCAACGAGACGTAATCAACCCGAGTTTCTAGCTAGAGTGTCGACCGGCAATAACGTGCCGAAGGAATCGCATCTTTTCAAAGTGGGGTTAGTGAATGGCAGCACGTGGAATAATGCTTGTTTTGTCTTGGCTTCCTGAGGCCTGCCCGGAAGTCGGCTTCGAATGTGACCCCACGCTGGGTTTATTATGCAGTAGTTCCCGTCACGGTTTGCGCGTCGAAGCGGGCCCTGAACAAGAACGTCTCGAATTAGAGTCGCGGAGACTCTCACGTGTGCCATTTGAAAGATCCACTACAACAATGAATCCGTTGGAGCATCACTGACATTGACTGCAACGCATCGGCAGGAGTCCAACAGGAAACATGAGACCAATCACAAGGGAAGAATCGCATCACCAGGGTTGGAGGGTCACATCTCATCCTCCGTTGTGCCTAGGTAATCATATAAGACGAAAAACCTCACCCCGCCATTGATGCTGAATGTTGAATTCTGCTTTCCAACCATCCACCAAAATGTCTGCAACGAACAATCCTACGAAGGAACTCGTCCCCGACGTTGTTGCACCTACCAGCGATACGGACGACCAGCCACCGGCGGAACTTGTTTCTGCTAGAAAGCAGTCATGGAGCGACATTTTCACTATTGCCTGTGCCGGCTTTGCTTTGATTAGCGATGGCTACCAGAACAACCTGATGTAAGCTGTTATGCGGATGAAAAGGCTGCTTGATTTGTTGGCTGAACTCCATAGGACTATGACAAACGTCGTCCTCAAGGCGGAATATCCTCAACAGTACACGTCCGTAGTCAGCACTCGGGTTTCCAACTCTCTTCTCGTCGGCGAAATCATCGGCCAGGTTACTATTGGCCTCACCTGCGATTACCTTGGGCGCAAGTTCGCCATCATTTTGACGACCGCCTTGATTGTTTTGGGCTCGATTCTCGCAACTGCGGCCAGTGGAGTCACCATTGATGGCATGTTTTGGATGATGACTGTCGCTCGTGGTATCATAGGCTTCGGTGCTGGTGGAGAGTATCCTGCCTCTTCAACATCTGCATCAGAAGCCGCGAACGAACGTTCTCTGAAGAACCGGGGCCCAATTTTCATCCTTGTTACGAACTTGCCGCTGTCATTTGGCGGGCCTTTGGCAGTCAGCATCTTTCTCATTGTATTCTCTGCCGCCGCTGGGCCTCAACACCTATCGACGATCTGGCGCTTATGTTTCGGAATTGGATGCGCTTTGCCTTTGACAGTATTCTACTTTCGACTGAGAATGCTGAACTCCAAATTATATCGCCGCGGAGCAATCAAACGTCATGTGCCATACAGATTGGTAATTCGATACTATTGGAGGCGCCTCATAGGAACTGCTGGCGCATGGTTTTTATACGACTTTGTCACCTTCCCAAACGGCGTTTTCTCCGGTGTCATTATTTCATCTGTCGTAAAAGACTCCAGCATCAAGTCGACTGCAGAGTACCAACTCCTTCTCGGCGCTATAGGTCTGCCCGGTGTTCTTCTGGGTGCATACTTATGCGATCGAATCGGCCGCAAGAACGTCATGATGCTGGGATTCTCCGGCTATCTTGTATTTGGCTTGATAATTGGGGTGGCATACGACCAAATCACCAACATTCTACCTCTTTTCGTAGTTTTCTACGGCCTTATGCAAAGTTCTGGCAACATGGGACCGGGTGATATGCTCGGGCTGCTTTCTTCAGAGTCCTATGCAACCGCAGTTCGCGGAACCTGCTACGGTCTCTCTGCTGCAGTGGGCAAAGCTGGAGCAGCGATCGGAACACAGGCTTTCACACCAATCCAGGTTAGTCTTGGAAAGCGATGGACATTCATCATCGCGGCCATATGCGGAGTTGTTGGCGTTCTGGTGACTTACTTCTTCGTTCCGAACCTTAAAGGTGACGATCTCTCAGAAGAGGACGCCAGGTTCCACGCGTATCTACTCAGTAAGGGCTGGGACGGTGAAGTGGGAGAAAAGGACACTCCAGGCGTGGTTGGAGACGAGCCTGAGGTTGGAGTCGCACACGAGGGCAGTGCCAAGAAGATATAGGAGACAAAAGCATCACACGAGAGAGTTGAATTCGCGGAAGGGTGATTCGGGACAGTTTGGGCAAAAAAGCCCAGCAAGAAAATCAACTGCCCGAGAAAACGACTTGATTGAGCTGCATGGAACCTGTATACAGCCAACAGCACTTGTACATGGCAAAATTGAAGTCTTAGCCCACGAACCACAGCGGCCAACCCCCAAACATTAGGCAATAGTGTTTTTCCCCTCCATCAATGGCTTTTGTGCATAAAGGACATGCCTAGAGCCATGGTCAGTCCCGACTTATACAATCATATGGAGTTACTGCAACAAGAGTAGCAACTCACGGGTTGACCAAGACGTGAGCTGCCCCCGAACTCAACTCTTTGCGCACATGGCTGAGCATGACAAGCACCTCCTCCTGAATATTACCCAAAAACCCACAAAAGACCTTAAGAGTAAAGCCTTCGAGACCGCCGAGCAGCTGACTGAGACAAATTATACCCACATCTATGACTTGCGGATCCTTGGCCCATTGCCCACTCGGGGTCTCGAACTTCTGAGACTCGACATTATCGAACCCTGTGCCACGCACCCAACTCTCGACCTGACTACCAGGGCGCGCAGTACGTCCCATAGCGTCGCATGCTGCGAGGTACTCTCTGTTCCACTTGAAGACAGCGAGTTCCTTGGTATACGTGTTATCCTCTGAATAGTACAAACCATCCATTTCCTAAAATTCAACCCAGCCACCAGGGTTCAAATGACTAAACAGTATCAGAAAGAACATGACCTGTGCATTCAAACGAGGAATCAAGACGTGCTCGTAAATATTCTGGATGAGTTTCGGCCAGTCTGCGATAGCGACCATATACCGACCGAAGATGTAATCATACTTTTCAACACCAACCCAAGAGCTCTCAACATCATCGATCTCTTGGACCCTTTTGGAGACGTGGGTGATGTTTCACTGAGTACTGTCTGTTGCTTGTGGCACTTGCGCAAGTCATAAGTTTCAGTTCTGCGCATCACCTGTTAGTTAAGGGGATCCCCATTCAAAAGACCGCACTTTTTACATTGCTAGTACGCGGGAAGATAGTCGAGTCTTTATCTGTTAACAATGAGCGGTGGGTAGTTGGGATGAAATACTAGGCTGGGATTTCCACAGATTATTGACTTCCGGGATTGATGAACAAGTAGTGATATTAAGATGAAGAGTAGGTACTTATTATTCCTACCGGCGTATCAACTGCAAGGATCAACTCATTTGACACTCAGTCAGTGGTCAGACGCGTCCTTAATGGAAGCTGTCTGGCAAAGAAAAATCCACCCGTGCAGGTGGGCCAACAGGGTCTCCGGTTTGGCAGCAGATGATCCCGGGATCTGTGGAGCGCAGTTCGGAAGATGCGGCCGAGAACCAGCCATGCGGACCAAGACCGGGCTCACTGAGATTTTATTGCACCGGCATCTCAAGACTTTGCCTACAGCAATCCTTCTTCCTGATCTTGTAGCGAACTCCGATTGCCATTGCGAAAACAAGCTTGACGAGAGTTATGTCATGTTTTCCGACAACTCCATTATACAATCGACACAAAGCACACCTTTTTAATGTATTCAAGTTGCCAGCTCATTCATCGGCACCTGTAAAGGATAAGATATCACTGCCTTGCCTTTCAGAGTCTCGCTAATGTCCAATATTCAAACCAGTTTTGACTACCTATGTTGAGATATCAGCAGAGTCCCAATCGTTTGGCACGTGTGGAGTGGACTCGGAAGGTTTTCTTTTTTTCGCGGCGTACGAGTCACGCTGAAGTGTCGTGACCAATTGTCAGGGCTCTCTGCTCCTAGTCAGTGCGGGATTTGCACCCATTCACTCCGCTGGTCCTCAGTGTCGTTGATATGCTGCCCGAGGTAGATCTTACTCCTGTTTAGACCAATTCTCTCTGATGGTGTGGTAATGGCGAGGTTCGGCTAGCGCAAACGGAGACGAACATAACCTTACTCAATCGCTTGGCGCGCGGGACTCAGACTCACGTTCATGATATGATTGCAAAGACAGAGTAAGGCTGGGCTCAAGGCGGGAGAAAGACAGCTGGTGAAACCAGGTCCAGGGTGAGATTGGTGGACAAATGAAATTCTCAAATTCTGCATGACTCTGCACACAGAGTGCGTAGACACGACTCGTCGACAGGGATGCTGGCCCCCAACCCAAAAGGATAACCCAGCTCGAAAGTCAATTCAACATGATAAGGTTTATCGTGGTTAGCAACTAAAAAGAAACCCCACTAGAAAGAGGTGAGCTCATTTCCAACACTGGTGAATACGGATATCGGCGAACGCAAATGAACCTAAATTGATGAAGCCATTTCCGGCGTCGCGAACTCGCGAGACAACGCGGGATCATCGGAGTTTCCCAAGAGGTGGTTTGAGTTCCAGCTCCTCGTTGATGGCTTATTTATTTGCAGCGTTCGCATCCCTCATTGAGCACGACTTCACCTATTCGGCGCTCCAACCAACTTCGTCGTTCTTTGCACAAACCTCCAACAACTATTCTCAAACTTTGATCTGCTAGATCTATCCACTCATTTCAATACTTCCTGCCTCTTAATTACTACATAATTAATCAACAACTTTCGCCAAAATGCAGTTCTCCATCTTCACTGTCCTTGCCGCTGCTGCCAGCGCTGTCGTTGCTCTTCCTGTGCGTCATATGTCACTCTTCTTTGCGTTCAAAAGAAGCAACTAACCAGCTCATAGGCAGCCACTCCTACCGCTGCCGCCACCGCGACTCCCTCTGCCACTTGCGGCAAGATTGGCAACTTCCACAAGACCACTGTCAAGGCCGGACAGACCTTGACCACCATCGCGCAGCGCTACAACTCTGGTATTTGCGACATTGCGTGGCAGAACAAGCTTGCGAACCCCAACGTCATCTTTGCTGGTCAGGTCCTTTTGGTCCCCGTAGACGTTTGCAACCCCGACAACACCTCCTGCATCACCCCCACTGGGGAGGCTACCTGCGTTACTGGCGGACCGGCTACCTACACCATCAAGTCTGGCGACACATTCTTCGTCGTTGCTCAGAGCCTTGGCATCACCACTGACTCTCTTACTGGCGCCAACCCTGGTGTCGCTGCTGAGAGCCTCCAGGTCGGCCAGGTCATCAAGGTCCCTGTTTGCTAAATACCTTACCTACCTTGAAGCCTTTCGCTGGGTGCGAAGAGTTCACATGCTCCATGCCCACCTGAGGTGTCTCTTGAATAATACATAGAAAGGCAATAATAGGATACTTGTCATTCTTATTACGTCGTGCAAAAGGTTACATGGTGTTATGCCTTGTGTAGAATGGATGAGCGTAGTGTTGCGCGTCGGCGTCGGCGAGCTCAATCTGCTTATTCTTTTGCATACCTATTCCAAAGGCCACCTTGAGACTTCCACCAGAGTCATTCTTTGTTGCTCCACGTCCTTCGGAAAGGGAGACCTTCTCGGACTTGTTCACGTGCAAACATAGAGTTGCATGAGAGCAATGACAGTCGTCATCATGGAGTGATAATTCTGCTACAGACTTCCATGTTGTATGCTACGCATCCTCTGCAGCTCTTGATGACACCTTGCAATGAATGCCAACCTGTTTGACCAGCCAGTAGTTCTCATGCCTTTCAGTCTGGGAATTCACACAACTAAAGTTGAACCCCTTCACCAAAACAGGGATCAGTTTGTTAATCTCGAGCAGGCTAACATTTTTGCCAATGCAAGTTCTGGAACCTGTTCCAAACTATCGGAAGCGAAAGTCAGTAGCTGCGCTGCTCCTATCCAACTACTGGCGTATCGAAAACAATATGTTGACGTACCGGGATCCAGTTGGTCTCCATCAAAGAAAGCTTGTCTTTGTCGTCATCCAGCCATCTCTCCGGACGGTATCGGTCGGCATCAAGCCCAAATATACTACTGTTTCGATGTAAAACCCACGTGTTCACGCCAACTACAGACTGCGTTTCTCATTTTAGCAGATGCGAATGGTTCAATGACCTGGACCTTGTTTGTACTCACTCCTTCAGGGAAATGCGTTCCGGCGAGAGTTGATCCACCTGCTGGGACGACACGCGCTAGCGGAAGCCCGGTTGCGGGATGAAGTCTCAATGACTCCTTCACGCAGGCTTGCAGATAGCATAATGCCTGCGCAGCTTTGAATGGGATGAAGTCCGGATCCCCAAGTTCTGCGAATGTGGCATCAATCTCCTAGCGCAACTAGATTACTCTCAGTATGGTCTTCACAACTGAACGTCTACCAATGTGTGCTGAGTATAACAGACCTTGTCGAGAACGTTTGGGTGGGTTATGAGGTCGTACAAAATAGCGCAAAGGGAGATCGATGTAGTATCAGAGCCAGCTCCAATGTTGGTCATGCAAGTGGCGAAAATCGCGCTGGAGGGAAATTTGTCCGGGTTCTCATCTTGTAGACGAAATAATTTTGACATAAAGTCTTTTCGCACGGCACTTTTGTTGCCTTGTTCGCTGTCATAAACCTGCCTTCCGTTTTCGAGTTCGTGAGCGGTGAAATTCACAATGTGCATCAACCCGGCTGCAGGCAATTTGGTAATAAGCCACCAAAGGGGGCGGTGAAGTTCATGCTCAATACCAACAAGAGCGCAGTACTTGAGATAAGCGTGAAGGCTCTTGAACATGCCCAGATTGTCCTTACCGGAATCGAGAAACCCAAATCGTTTCCCAAGCTGCATGTGAACAAGAATGTCAAAATGATTCCAGACGGTCTCCAGGAAGTAGGAAAACCCACAGTGATTTGACTGATGACATCAAATGCGTAACATTGCATCCAGAATTGCAAGTCAAGTATCCCACCCGACTTTGACAGATGTGTAAGGCGAGACACAAACTGTCTGATGCAGTCTTCCACTTCTGGCTCCATATCTTTGAGTGTTGTCACGGAGTAGAGGTTTGCCACAATTCGTCGATTAGCAGCGTGGCGTACGCTGTTTCGGTCCGTGAAAAGATCGCACCAAGGCGGGTTGGGTACGCTGGAGGCTTCATACCATGCTGCCTAGGGAATTGATCGAGTGCTGTCAGCAGATGGAGATTTAGTGAACGAATCGAAGCGAAGTATTACCTTTGGAAATCCCTTGCCGATTCCATATATAGTCTTGATCACACCCGGATCATCGATGCTATATTGATTTGGCGCTAAACGCACAACAGGGCCTAGTTTATGAGTTCACTTATCCATGAAGTCTTCCGGAACAGGAGCTTAGGCTTACCGTACGTCCGGTGAAGATCAATATTGACTTGATGGAAGTTTCCTGTGCTGACCTGCTTCAAGTACCATAGCCGTGAGAGACGAGCTGGGAATGGACCTGGTAATCTCCTCAAAGAGGAAAAGGCTTCAAATAGAGATGGGAGGGCGAATGCGAAAACCAATAAAAGTGCAGAAGATAGTAGGATGATATGGGTGATTGGACTGTCAAATATGGACATTTTGATTTGCAAGTAGAGTCGTGATGATTTGAGGGATAACTTCGAGCTTCTTGAAGCAAACTCAAGTGAGTTGGTGAGTTTATTCTTTAGGAACTCCGCAGCATGCAATTGTGAAAATCAAGGAACTTTTTGTGAAGGGTAAACTTGTTCTAGGCGAAGTTAAAGATATCTGTCAAATCTCTAATTACGCAGCTTGCCCATCCTTGAGAGAGAGTTACACCCTGAAGATCTACGTCACCAGCGTGGGAAGGATGTGTCCTACCCCATATTCTACCAAAGGGCGGTTCCCACGCGGACGCACTGCGCAAACTTAGCCCTTCCTTCCCCGCAAACACACAGCTACCCGTTATGTTGTATGTAAACAAGCTGAAGTCCGTGTGGGGTAGGTAACTTCCTCGTAACTAAGGTAAGTACGTTTCTTGCTCCCGGTGTGCGCCTTTACCCCACATTCAAACAACCTCCACCCACAATGAGAAGAGAGGCAGGGACGTGAATGACTGATCTGGGTTGAGTCAAGGTATATGGCTCTTCTAATGCTCTCTACGTACAAGTATTGCACCTCGGTTTCGTCTAGGCTGGGGGAAACATACTGTCTTAAATCTAATTAGTGACAACAGAGCAGGCTAGAAAACATCACAGCCCGTCAATATGCCGGCCTCCAAACGCGGGACTATTCATCACCCAAATGGCCAAGTCTCAGCCTACGTACTGGACAGTTTTGTTGATCCCTGGCGACCCGCAGAGACAATTCTATTACAACATGGCTTCGCTCGTACGGCTGACCATTTCTACCATTGGGTGCCGGCTTTATCGCGACATTACAACGTACTCCGGCGAGATCTTCGCGGTCATGGAGAGTCGAGCTATCCGAAACCTGGTCAGGATGACGCCTACGACTATTCACTTGCCACCATCATGGAAGAGATCAAGGACACTTTGGATCAGTTGAACATAGAGAAAGTCCACTTTGTTGGAGAATCAACTAGTGGGATGCTTGCCGAGATATTTGCGGCAAAATACCCTCAGCGTGTGCTCTCGATCATTGTATGCTCGTCTCCCACTCACTTGCCGCAATCTGCCCAGGAGTTTCTGGCGTTTGGCAAAGGGTCTTGGCCGGAGGCTTGCCGTCAACTAGGGTCCCGAGAATGGGCTAGGCGTCTCGCTACCGCGAATGGGACAGTCGCAAGTGACGACCCTGAATATCTAGCCTGGTGGATTGAAAAGGTGGCCGCGAGTGACGGGGAAGGGCTGGCAAGCTATGCGGACTTTCTGAGTCGATTGGACGCCCGGCCGTTTTTGGGAAGCATCACCGCTCCGATGCTCATTCTATCACCCACGAACAGTGCTTTGGTGACAGTGAAATCCATGGAGGAGCTTGCAGCGACAGTGCCCAAGGCAGAGCTTGGCATCATTGATTCCAAGGGTCATGAGATATACGCAGAAGCCGCCGACGCCTGTATTGCTAAAATACGGACGTTTCTTCAGCATATCGAGAACAAAGAGATCTAAAATGTTACAAAATAGAAAGAGTTCAATATCTGAATTGTCTTCATGAAGCCCCTGATCACCGATTCGGTGTTTGACGTGTCCTGTTCACTAACATGACTGGCATTAGGCCCCAGCGGACCATTTCGAACGGCAGTCTTGATGTCTCGGAATCCCGATTGGGGCTATACGTTGACTGAAGAAGCAGGCTCTATGAACTAAGGTTAAAATGTGATGGTATTCATCGTTTGGGGGGGCTTCTTGGAGACATAGTATTAGGTAGGTCTGGATTAAGAGAACGGATCTTTAGTTGCAAATCGGACATGTGTACAGTATGCTGAGCTCACATCTGAATGCTCGACAAAGTGGTTCTAATTCTTGTCTTCCCCCGTAATGTGAAGATATACAGATGATCCGTCACGATCCTGTGATGACCCCATATTAGCCTGACCAAAAAAGTCAAGACATGCATGTATCATTACTTACAATACAGCGGGGATTCTTTGATGCCTCCTCAAATACCGCATAAGCGGCTTCTGCCATTGAAGGCTTGAGATCTTGACGTCGGGCTGCTTCTATTCCCAGTGAAAGGTCTTTCAGGAACATTTGTGTTTTGAAACCCAGTCGCCAATCATTGCTGCTGGGTGCGTGAGGTACCACGCCGGGCACTGGGCAAACATTGTCTCCCATGAAAGACTGTCCAGTTGAGTTGTGAATGATTGTTTGGAGTATCTTAGGGTCCACACCCGATTTGACACCAATCGCCATTGCTTCTGCGACCAATAACAAGACGGAGCACGAAATATAGTTGTTGCTGATCTTTGCGACAAGACCGGAGCCTACACTGCCACACCAGAATAACTTTTGGGGATCACCCATCAACGAGACTGTTCTTTCCAGTCTCTCCGTTGATTTGTCACCCGGCCGCGGTGCAGGATGACCGATCATGAATGAAAGCGTGGCTGTTTCCGCCGCAGGAACGCCCCCCTAAAATTTGATTAATGCCGAATTGTTTGATGCTGGGATGCAACGGCACCGCTGCCAAGCAGCATACTTACTGAGACTGGGGCATCAACATACGTGCCTTGTTGGGTTGTTTCAATGTGAGCAGCCAACTTCCGAGCCGTGGCTGCATCGATCGTACTGCACTCGAGCAAGAGTCTGCCAGGATTTTTGGGGGCGACGCTGATACCGTTTTCAGGATGTAGAAAGACATCTTCGACCTCTCTTCCTCCCGGCACCATTGATATCACCACTTCAGCGCTTGCAGCCACATCTCGTGGTGACTGAGCTATCTTGACTGGCCCCAGGCTGCCGAATTCGATGCAAAACCTTGCACAAGCTGCCTTTTGTACGTCAAAAACGTACACAATTGAGTCATGCGGAAGTCTGCGGCGAGCAGATGCGGCCATAGGATATCCTATGGCACCAAGGCCTTCGTTCACGTAAGTGACGTCGAAAAGGATGTCGAGTCTGGGCTAGCAGAACCTACCGATGAATCCTACGTTACAATCCATGTTGGCATGTATGATTTAACAATAGTATGAAAGAATCTCCAGAGAAGCTCAATGTCTTTAAAAAGATGTCAGAAATTCAAATGCCTCTGCAAAGCTAGCAAAACTGGGAGTATCTAGGGCGCTAGGGTTCCCCACACTCGATCTCGAAGCAAATTCTACAGCGACCATTCACTCCCCCACCTTTACCCCGCGTTCGATAATAGGTACGTGATGAACGATGGATATGGTGGACATAGATCTTTACGAGTTACCTTATCAATAGAAATTCCCCTGGCAAATGTTGAAGACCTATGTGTGGATCATAATTCAAACACAAGTTCAACACCGTCATGCTTGAAGAACGTCGACCGCTGGTTGTGGGTGTTATTGGCCCTGCGGGTTTTGGAGGCTCCTATTTGTGCGTCGAGCTCATCAATCGTGGTCACCGTGTCATTGGAATATCCCGTAATCCACAAAAGCTTGGAAGCCATGAACGTTACGAACCTCGAAACATCGATTTGGAACAAGCAACGGAAGCTGATATATACGGGATCATCAAAGACCTTGACGTTGTTGTAAGCGAATACGGGCCGCATACCGGTGGTCATCAAGCTCTGCAGTACAGTACGTCTCATTGTTCAACTCTCGAGTACCAGTCTTTGTCACTGACTTGTTACCTGTTGTAGTGCCTTTCATCGAGATGATACGAAAGATTGTTCTTGCTGTCAAGCGCGCTGAAACCAACTACTTCGTAATGGTTGGTGGTACTGGTAGCCTACACGTGCCCCACGAAGATGGCATATGTGTGGCAGACAGCAAAGATTTCTTCTTGGCATATCGACGCGGCATATCCGACAGCCATGCACATGTGACTTACATGGAGGAGAGACTGGGACCGCTGGGAACAGCTTTGCGAGCATACCGAGATGCGCGCCTTTTGTTGAGAACGGGAGATGGGAGCCAACAGAACGTATCAAGGGCAAAAGCCACAATCAGTGAATACGAGGCAAAGATCAAGGCGCAACAGGATGCAGCAAGCGGATTCATCAAGGCAGCTCGGGCTAGCCTGTTGTTCTTCGAGGGAAATACCTCCTTCAATTGGACTTATGTCTCCCCGAGTGCGTTATACCGTCCGGGTAAACGCACAGGCAACTACAACGTTACACTGGGAAACCTGCCGCTGAAGGACGGTCCCAAGGGCGAAAGCCCCTTGGATGGAAGACTCCTGGGAATTTCAGCTGCTGATCTTGCGATCGCCATCGCTGACGATATTGAGACGCAACGATTAAAACATCAGCATTGGCCTGCCACAGCCGACTTATCAGATGACACACCAACCCCATCCTATGTAACTATCAAGACATGATACATTTCGGCGTTTGGAATGTAAATATACTTCAAGTCAAATAGAAGAAGCAAAGGATGTAGATTCCTCCCCAAATCACCCAAATCTGTGGTTGATCACATGTTTATCGCGGAAGGAGGCACCCCACAAAGTGAGATCATCTGAATGTGGTCGTATGTGGAGTACAAGAAAACCCTGGTAGGTACTGGGAGAAAGTTGTTAAAACGACTGAAGCACGGGCGATTCGGTTGGCCATTGCTCACTACTCACTTACCCATTTCATCAAGTTTGTACGCAAAGCTCTGAATCACGCACAGAATGACCACTTATGTCATCAACAACGGGGAGTTTGAAAAACTCCAGAACAAGGTGATTCTCGTCACTGGTGGTGCTGCCGGCATTGGCCGAGCCATTGTGACTCTCGCTCATCGTAAGCAGCCTTTCTCTATCAGAAGAGTAGTATCACTTACTTGTTCACAGAGAATGGCGCCAAAGTAGCGTTCTGCGACGTCGACGAGGCTCGAGGCAAACAAGTGGAGCAGGAGCTTGACGCGTAACAAACTGCCTATGTCATAGCAGACATTCAATCTCTCAAGAAAGAGGGGCTAATGGATCTTTTCGCAGTAACGTGTTCTTCAAGCGATGCGATGTATTTGACTGGGATGAACTCCTCCACTTCTTCCAAGAAACCGTTTCGAAGTTCGGCCGGATCGACACAGTCATTGCGAACGCCGCAATTAATAAGTTAGAGACACTTGATGAGCCCATTGATGACGACTTGTTGCATTTGAAGAAGCCGGACCTCTCCGTTCTGAACGTCAACGTTGCTGCAACCTGGTACGTAACCAAATGCGCGATCAGCTTTTTCCGGATGCATCCTCAGATACCTTCGCAACTTGTTCTCTTTGGATCAGCGGCTAGCATCTGGGACACACCCCCCTTGTACACATATTGTGCCAGTAAAGGGGCTGTGTTGGGTCTCATGCGTTCCCTGCGGACCCAGCTTCCAAAGATGAACATCAGCGTGAACATGATAGCTCCTTGGATGACAGGTAAGACAAGTCGGCGAGGCTATGATTACCCCAAATACTTCCAGTATGATTCTGATTTGAAAATCATTAGTAACGGAAATGGTAACAGACCATATAAGATCGATTTGGGGGGACCTCCCAGCGAACCAACCTCGAGATGTTGCCAAAGCAAGTCTTTTGCCAGCAGCAAGACCAGATATCAATGGCAAAACCTTTTTTGTGAATGGAGGCAATATAACAGAGTTGGAGGACAAGCTAGATGAGACCCAGCCCCTTTGGTTGGGAATGGAATTGGACAGAAATATGCGGGAAGGGCAGCGAAGACTGATTCCCTAGCCAAACGCCCAGAAGCCATAAAAGCACGCTTAACTTTACTTCATAGGCATGTATACATAGTTAGGATGCTTTGGTGATAGATGGTTCGAATGAGAGTTCTAATAAGACGAGAAATTGCTCAGCCTTCACATTGTTGCTGGAAACCGTGGGCCTTTCTCTTCCTAAATCTTTTATTGCTTCACGGCTGTATTGGTCCTCGAAAGTACGACTCCCACGGAAACATCAGTCACGGCAGTGAACAATCAATTAGATGATGGATCGCTTTTTTGTGGACGTATGCCGTTCCCCGGCCACTATGTACTGAATGCGGGGAAGTTGCGAGAGTGGAGGCAACCTAAGTTATTTAACTCTGATCTTCTCCCCAATACCGGGGTCGTTTCTCAAGAGGTACAGAGCTGGCATTTCTTCATGTATCTGTTCCAAAATGGCGTCGAACAGACCGATTCCCATGGCCACCGGGACTGTCGAGATTGTGCTACTGGACGGAGGAGGATTCACAACCACCGACGACACAAAGATCCACGAGGATGGGCGTTTAGAGCCATACTATCTTTATGATTGGTGTTTCTTCATTCATCACAGGGCTACAGGCCGACGAATGCTCTGGGACCTTGGAATCCACAATGTAAGTTTGCAATGGGCACCTTTTACACCTCCGCTCATCCCCCGCCGTGTAGGATCGCGAACTCTATACGCCGTTTGTATTAAACTATCACTGGACGAGTTGCAACCCAGTTGGACCCAGACGATCGCTCATTACGCAGCTGAAGGACTTAGGAGTGACGGCAGAAGAAATCGACACTGTCATGTTCAGGCAAGAACCTAAATCTCCCCATAAATACGTCCAGGCCAATGGGACCACGTGGCTGACCTGAGAGTAGTCATGCCCATTGGGATCATTGCCGACCGCTGAAAGGCGAGTTCCCCCGCGCCAAAGTTTTGTTCGGCCCTGGTACTGCAAAGCACTGTTCCCCAGGGCATGTAAGAGATGGCGAAATTCAACCAATGGTCCAGTGGGACGCTCGCTTTTTTGGTAAGGGCGACTCGCAGTCAGAGTCCTTTGAAGAGCTTGAGGGACCATGGGTTCAATGGGGCCCTTTTCATCGTGCGAAGGACTTCTTTGGCGATGGCAGCTTCTGGGTGATTGACGCCCCGGGGCATATGGAAGGGAATCTGGCTGCAGCCGCCCGACTACCAAACGGGCAGCATGTTGTCTTAGCAAGTGATTGCTGTCATTCGAGGTCAGTTACCCTTCACTTTCTGTTGGAGCAATGGCTGGGCTATCGACGACTAATCTGGCCTTTTGGCGGGTAGAGATATTCTCGATGGTCGCCGAAGCATTGCCAACATTTTACTTCCCGATGGCTCTCACTTTTGCTTGCACGAAGACTTGACCAAAGCTTGGAGCACCATTGAAGAGCTCAGACAGGCAAATGAACGATATGGGATGCATATTGCTATGGCTCATGATGCCGAGTTTATCAAAAATGACGAGGATGAGGTACTCATGTCAATCTTACATCCGGGATTTGATGAATCGTGTCTTGCGAGGATCCGGGCTCATGAACGGCCGTGAAGGACCATCTTATGAAGTCAATTGTAAAGCTGTTGGTCCATGTTCCGTCGCAACCAGCGAGAGAGTCAGAGGGGTGATAAGCAAGACCAGTAGCATTAGACATTTAGCAAACCCGTATCACTCGAACGGTGACTTTGCCGCGCAGTCCCCGTCTTTTCCCCGCATTTCGCCCCCGCCGAGTGTAGCCAACTTCCAACTGTGCCTTCTGGGGTGCAGCTGCCACTGTGCCGTCTACAGGGGGACTGGCCCACCTACGAATGTGTGAGCCAGGCAGACCCTTGTTCTGGTAAGTTGCCCCGGACTGGCTCGGCAACTGCACAACCCGACACCCCGCAACGTCGAGTGTCGAACACGAACTTCGCCATCGTCACAACTTGAGTAGCCACCGCCATCCTCCGAATATCTAGCCCTATCTGAAAGCCTCGAACAGGGCTTGCATCGAAAACCTGAGAACGAACAACCCAGCTTGCTTATGTCGCCAAACGACGATCACCCAGCTGCGGTCGCACGGAGAGGCCGCCCCCAGCGTTAGTACAAGTGCGGATACTGCCCGAAAGCGTTCAAGCGCAGTGAGCATTGCATTCGACACCAGCGCACCCATACCCGAGAGAAGCCATATATCTGCCGGTACTGCCACAAGTCTTATGGAAGGAAGTATGTAGATCCACATCTTGACCCTATCACTGTCGTGGATAACAGTTCACTAAAGTGCCACTGGTGCCCAGAGATTTGGTAACAAGACACGAGCGCACTCTACATGCGAAGTTGCACAACAACGAGAAGATCGCCGACGAGGTGACAGTGGCATGTTCACTATCGACGCAAGCAACAAACCACGAGACACCTGTCAGCGACGATATCTCGGACGGCGAAGAGATAGATCTGGAAAGACAGTCTTACCCGGAGTCCCTCGAGTACCAGTCTCCACGTATCGACGTAGCTTCTTCAGCCTCCTCTCCCATTACTGGTCGATTCGAAGCAAATTTCCAAACAGCATCTCCGTTCGGCGTGGAAGACCGCGACGTCATTTTGGAAGAAATAGTCCAGGCAGAGCTGGAAACCAGGTTGCCAGGTCAGAGGTGTGACAAAACCTCTGAAGAATGCTCGAATGGTTCAAAAAGGGCGCAGCCCCAGTCTTCCAGCCCACATACCGCTGATCCGCGACCACACCAGCTAGAAGTGTTAGAACTGGACATGATCGACCCGGCGTTGTTTTCAGATATTGGCCAAGAGATGGACATGGACTTCGGGCTCCCAGGACCGTCGGCAATCGTACCCAGTCATGAACCAACGGAAGTACTTCGCCAACATGCCCCAAGAGGAGCGGATCACCACACGGACCGCTCTGTCGCCATGCTTAACGATCCAGACTCGTTTGGCTTCTCACCAAACACAATAGCAGAGCTAAATTTTGCTGCAATCAACTTCGCTTCTTTAACTCAACAGGCTGACGATATCAGCGAGGATCGCTATCAAGTAGAGACCGGTGGTCTTGCTACATCTGGCTCACTTGGGGACTATCCACTAAATTCCCGGAAAGGCGCCCAGGCTGTTATTGGGCCTTCGAGCGTGCCCTTAGTGAGTCCAACGGAAGTGCGCGAGACGGAACGTGCGTCCGACCTGCCGTCTCTTTCCGAGGACGGGCATCCCCCATGCCCCACGTTTACAATCAGTGACGAAACCTGGGGTTGCGTTCAACAAGACCTTTTTCGTCGCTTGCCAAACTCAGACAAGAACACTCCCATTCCCGCTGCCAAATTTCTCCAAAGCTGTTTGTCAAGCTACATCACATGCTTTCACATGCACTTCCCTCTCATTCACATTCAGACACTGGAACTGCAACACGCTCCAAGCCCCCTGATCCTTGCAATATGTGCTATTGGTGCGCTCTATCGTCTCGATCGTCGCCGCGCTAGAGTGATGTACAATTTGGCAAAGCAGAGCTCAGGAGATGTAAGTTAAACTTCACCAATACCCTTGGCCATTTGATGAAGGTGTGTGAGACGTATTTGCTAACCTTGATCTCCGCCCCAGCAGATTAAAACTCCATTGCCTGCTGATGGACGAGCTTTTGTAAAGGACTATCCTCTTTGGACTGTGCAGACGCGAGTGTTGCTTAGCTTCTTCGCCATAATGAGTGGTGATAGAGAACTTGTTAACGATACCATGAGAGACAACGGATTTTACACTTTGGTACGATATATTGCTATTCACCTAATTCTCGAGAGGGTTCTTTTGTTCTGACTGAGAGCTAGGTGTACAGCAAAGCTCGAGCAGCTGTAGCGGGAGACGCCCCTGATTCAGACACCATGGATTGGCGGTTATGGATCGAGCTTGAATCATGGAAACGATTGATAGGCGGCATATTCATCGAAAGCACGTTGACAATGGTCATATACGAAGTTAACCCGGGGTTTCACGCAACTCAAGACTTGGACATCCCAGTGTACAGCGATGAAATCCTGTGGAATGCGGGGTCCATTGATGACTGGAGAGAAACATACAACAGCATCGGAACGAAGAAAGAAAGCAGGCGCCACACCATCAAAGATGTCCTAGTGGACATTTTACTCGAAGGGAAGTATCACGCGAACACCATGCCTTACCACGTATCGCCACTCACCGCTCTCGTTGCTGTACATGCGCTGGTGGTACACATGTGGCAGCGGTTCCAAGTATGCCAAGCGCTCACATCAACAACTTCGTTGTTTTCTTCCAGCTCTGAACATGACCCCCTCAGCTCATCATTGCTGAGAAGCGCCATGCAGTCTTTGACTCGATGCCATGATTTCCTACAAGGAGTCAGGAGTGAGCTTCCACATGCGGATGCTGACGAGCATGAGAAGGACCAAGAATGCTCGCTCGTGTTCAACTGCCAAGCTATATTGCGCATTGCTTACACCCGCATTGCTGGCCCTTCGATCAGAATTAGCCTCATGAACACAGATGATGCAGATATGGACGCGGCAATATCTTCATTTGTGACTGCAAAAATGGAACGCAGCCCGCAACTACTCGATATCATTTCAAAATCTTTCGAAGGCTTCAAGATCCCAGTCAAAATTGGTCACTTGCTTGTACGAAAGACAGCAGCATTTCGTTGGAGCGTGGAGCACGCAGTAGCAGGATGGTCAAGCGGTAAGAGCATACCCAGAGATACAGGGCCATTGAAGTTGAACTGAAGTCTTCGATAGCAATTCTTGTGTCCAAATGGGTCTATTCCATAGAGATTGGTGTCTTTGCTGGCATACAGCCGACTGCGGCCGAAAGCAAGCTACTTACCACCATCAGAGAGGCTCTCGAAGAAGCAGAATGCGAACTGAGTGAAGCTTCGTGCTTGTCGGCGGCCGTGGCTAAGACATGGGGTTGGTTCATGCACGATGTAAGTGTCCAGAACTGACGACAATGTTTACATATTTAACATACCGACGTAGGTCTGGATCTGGGGCATTACGCCTCGCATGGGAGAAGCACTCAATCGTCTGGCAATTGCGTACACCCGTATAATTGATGCAGCCAAAGGCCATGTGGTCGACCGTCCACCGCTGTGCTTGGGCAGACTGGAAAGTAGAGACGGCTTTGAAAGCATTTATGTAGGCAGTCGTGCCAGCTGTAATCTTTGACATTGGAAAATGGGTGGAACATGCCTAACTTTCCCCATGGAATCTCATGAGTGGCCAAACAGTGAAGCTCACTTAATATCAACTTTTGAAGGCGTTCAGACGAGGCATAGTGTGGGGTACTGGTGGGTTGGCAAGGTTCATCTACAGAAACGAGTTGGAAAATGTATGTGGGGAGGAGGGCAGTGCCTCGGCGGTCTGAGATTGTTATTTGGAAAGCTGGATACTTTGATGGGTGTCGAGTCGAGTCCTCATGTCTTTGTACGCAGCGTCATAAGTTTTCCAGGGAACATTATTTAACTACTAGGTAGACAATGAATAGTTGAGTCAATTCCACGTGCACCGTTAAATGACGTTTGTGACGCCTACCCCGCGTTGGCACGCAAGAGTACATAAAGTATGGCGTAAAGCCCTCGCTTGTGTGCCCGCCAAAGCCCCTACTCAACTCAACAATGACATCAAACAACGACGTTCTAAAATCGTCCCTACTTGCTCTTGAGGCCTCGGCCCGTGGCATCGTCAGCGTTTCCGCTCTGCGTGGCGGTGAATTCACCCTTCCTAGTAGTCTTTTTGTGTCAGGGGCTTCCCCAACAGAGAGGGTTCTGGTGCCTTCACTCTCCTTCTTGATCATACAGAACTGCATCAACAATGGCGCTAGGCGCATTCTATTTGACCTGGGTCTCCGCCGCGAAACTGGCGACTATTCGGAACCGATACAACATCATTTGCAAACTCGGAAGCCAATACTACCGCTCCCAGACGTGCGCCAGAGCCTGCTCGAAGGTGGTCTGAGTCCGGGAAGTATCAATCAAATCGTGCTCAGCCATGTTCACTGGGATCATATCGGAACGCCATCCGACTTTCCCGCAGCAGAATTCTTCGTCGGTGCCGGATCTCTCGATCTGCTGAAGACCGGCCTGAACGGGCACTTATGTCACTCTAACTTTGAATCCGATCTTTTCGACAACATCAAAGTTAAAGAGTTGTCGCGTCCCGCAAAGATGGCATCTGGATTGGATGATAGCTGGCACGACGTTGGAGGGCTGAAGATCTTCGATTTTGGAGGTAGCGACAGCGGCTCACTCTACATTGTCGACTCGCCCGGTCATCTGATCGGCCACATCAACCTTTTAGCACGAATAGGCACCGGGAAATGGGCTTTACTTATTGGGGATGCCTGTCATGACCAGCGTTTGCTTCATGGAAGGGAGGCCATTGCAGAATGGACAGATGATACGGGAAGGGCGTGCTGTATTCACATGGACAAAATGAAGGCTGCCGACACTCTGAGAAGGATTTCACAGTGGAGGGTGGCCTTCAAGACATGCGGCATGTCTTTGGAAGTTATATTTGCTCATGATGTGGAATGGGCAAATACTCATAAGACCTCTTTCTTCCCAGGAACAATCTAGCGGCATAAGTACGATGCTTTTAAGGTATGAGTTTTTGAATGAGCAATCCGTGCCCCCACAGTCAAAATCGGACAGAGAAAATGTGAAGAATTTGACATGTGAGTAAGCAGAAGGATGTGTGGTGGGCGTCTGGTCGTAGGTAAGTATTGTCTGTTACTTACCCCGCGGTCCGGGAAGCCCCTAAAAGGGAGCGCATTGCACACTTCCTTCTCGCAGCCAGTCGCCACTCACTATCCAACGACATCACTTTCTAAACACAACGCAAATCGAACGCCGGTGACCGTTTATTTATCTCATACTTGCATAATGGAAATGTATCATCGTCTGGGTTTTATTGGTCTTGGTGCCATGGGTGCTCCCATGGCTTCCAACCTTGCCGCGAAGTTGGCTAAGGATTGTAAAATATGCATCTACGACGTCTCACAGGAAGCTATGGAATCCTTCGTCGAAGCTCACGGGCAGTCAGTATCAATCTGTCACTCACCGAAAGAGGTTTCTCAAGGAACAGTAAGGTTTGACCCAACATCAGTCAACGTGCATAACTTAACGAGCTTTGCAGGATATCATCTTCACCATGCTGCCAGAAGGTTCCCACGTGAGAGCCGTCTACCTGGATCCTGTTGACGGCATCCTGCATTCGAAGATGTCCGCTCGCCTGCTTATTGACTGCTCTACCATTGACACTGAGACGTCTCTCGTAGTGTCCACTGCAGTCAAGTCGCGTTTCCCTGACGTCGCGTTCTATGATGCCCCGGTGTCAGGGGGTACTCTTGGTGCAGTTGCAGCGTCTCTAACCCTCATGGTTGGTTGTTCTGAGAACGATAGCAACTGGTCACTCGTCGAAGGTTTGTTGGGACTCGTGGGCAAGAATATCATCGCATGCGGGGCCCCCGGCATGGGTCTCACCGCAAAGCTGTGCAACAACTATTGCTCCGGACTCATTTCACTCGCCACAGCCGAGGCCATGAACATCGGCATGCGTTCAGGTATGGATCCACGGTTACTTTCACGGGTGTTTTCCAAAAGCACGGCACAGAGCACAATTTGCGACAAGTTCAATCCTGTTCCTGGCATATGCCCAGATGCACCGTCCAGTCACGGATATAAGGGCGGCTTCAAAGTGCAATTGATGGCAAAGGATTTTGGGTTAGCTATTTCGACTGCAGAAACAGTCGGCGCAAAGCTGCTACTGGGGACTGCTGGCTTAGAGGCATACACTAAAGCGAGCCAATCCGCAGAGTGTCGAGATCTAGACTCTAGAGTGCTTTTCAGGCATATTGGAGGCCAGGAAGATTGGGAGAATGACATTAAGAAAAGCCAAGCGCATGTGTCTCGCTGATGGAAATTTCTGAATCGTAGCGCTGACGTACGAGGTGCTGCGCGTGGGGAGGCGATGTAGTTTCCGTTGCATTTCATTTTCCGTCTATTAGGCATGAACTTTCAAGGAGTATCGTGCTGAAAATGTAGCCTCAAAAGGGCGTCGGGATGAGCCACTGTCTTCATCCTGTTGTCATTGAGTCGCCTTGTTTGCACTGTGACTGCCAAAATGACAGAACGTGGGGTGCACAGTCCAATTTGCGCGTGGTCGGGTACCCCGTCGAGCGCCGGGCTGTCTTCTCCACATTATGAGATGCCCTCCATTACCACAGACGTCTTCCCCACATAGAAAAGATAACGTAGCGTTAGAGCGGTTTGGTCGAAAGTCTTCACAGATGCCAATGTGGGCTGAGAAGTCTGTCGGGGACCCCTCCTTCCACTCGAAGCCGCTATCACTAGGTTTCTCATTACTATCCGTTGCTACATCTGTTTTCCAAGCCGATGAAGTGACAGACTATAGTTATCTTCTGTTGAACAGAGTCCTCGATCAGCAAATTCAAATTGTGTCTTCTAGCAATCGTGCTTGCCCAGAACCTCCTACCTCGTCAACAATCGACATGACGTCAGAAAAGCCAAACGTCACTCAAATTGAACAATCCGCCCACAAAACACTCTACGACAAAGGGCTTAAAATACGATATGAGGTTGCCGGTCGCTCATATGTGGACTCCGCTTTGACCGGAGGTTCCTCCGAATTCGCGCGGCCAATGCAAGAGCTGGTGACCGAGGCCTGCTGGGGATCAGTGTGGTCGAGGCCTGGTCTCGAAAGAAAGCAGCGGTCGTTGCTCAATATTGCTATGTTATGTGCCTTGAATAGGGCGCCGGAACTCGCAGCACACGTTCGGGGGGCTCTTCGAAATGGAGCTAGCGAAGTTGAGATTAGGGAAACACTACTTCAGGCCGCTATCTACTGTGGGATGCCAGCTGGAATCGAGGGTTTCAAGGTTGCCGAGAAGGTCATCCTGGCATTCAATGAAGAGAAAGGAAACAAGTCGTAAGGCTCGCAAGTGTCGGTGGCTTGTGTCGACTATGCGACACTGAAGCCAAGAATAGTTGCTCATCTGTCTTACTTAAGTCACTGCTCCAGCTGAGGCCACAGGGAGAAATCATATTGTGCTTCGCGGAATACCTCACCTGCTGCCTACCATATGATGGATGTCGCGCGAAGTACTACTATGTTGTTGAAAGATTTGAGCTTACAATTACGATCTGACCTAAGGAGGCGACTGGAAGTCTAGTGAATCCTGGCTTCCTTGATATTACGTTTTTCTTGATGAGCTTCCGTGACATTAACAAACAAATATCCTGCAATTAGATAAGCTTACGTATCAAGCCATAGCACTCCATAAGATGATCTCGGGGTTTTCACGAATCTGCGCTTCTGGAAGAGTTGGTGCTCCCCACATGCGAGGGTATTTGATGTTGAAACTGAATTCCCTACTCCACACTCATCACGCGAGCAGAGTATAGGGGAGTCTGGGGTAAATCAATGTCTACTCCCTAATCCTGCTCCGAGCGAACTTCCAAACATAATCTTCATGCTGGAGGTTTTGAGTCGACATTCGAAGCTATCTCAACAACCTTAAAATCGAGTAACAATAAAATTCCAGCAATACGAGCAGTTGTCCCTCCGCGCCTTCTTTCGGGTTTGGAATTCGGATATCATGGTGTGGCACGTAACGATTGCTTTTATTGTTGCTCTTACGAGCATCTACTTGTGCTTGGTTCCCAATCGGATAACCGTAAGTGTGGCTCGGCTATCACCCCGCAGTCCTGTGCTGATGGGAATCACTTTTCAGGACTCACGAAGGAGAAAGCTGCCTCCAGGGCCACGAGGACTGCCGATCGTAGGCAATTTGTTTGATATAGCTGATTCTGAATCAGTCCGAGAGAAGGTTCGTAACTGGCATCAGACTTACGGCGATGTTTTCTACACGAAGGTCGGGACTACAGATTACGTCTGGCTGTCATCTCCCAGGGCTGTTAAGGACTTAATGGACAAGAAGTCTGCGATCTATTCGTCACGGCCCCATTTACCTTTAGCTCAAGATGTGGCTAGCGGTGGATCTCGCCAGCTTTTCATGGCTTACGGTCAGGACTGGCGAAATTTGCGGAAACACAGTCACAGTCTTCTCAATCTCACTGCCACAAAGAAATACCAATCGACACAAGAGCTAGAGTCAAGAGTACTACTACAAGACCTTCTCAATCAGCCAGATCAATATTACACTATCAACCGGAGATATTCGACATCCGTCATATTGCTCACTACGTACGGCTATCGCATTCCTTCCTTTCAAGACCCTCTAATAACTAAGATATTCACCGTTCTGGAACATTTGTCAGTAATGATGGCGCCTGGAGCTTTTGCTGTTGAGGTTCTGCCGGCATTGGCTAGACTTCCAGAACGCTTCTTCGGAAATTGGAGGACTTGGGGTAGGAATGCGTTTGCCCATGACAGCAAAGTTTACCTGGAGCTCTGGCAAACTCTCAAACAAACTACAGACGATGGAAGCGCGAGGGACTGCTTCTGTAAGGACTTCTACCTCGGTGATCCAACGAAGAATGGCATAGACGACCTGTTGGCAGCCTACACGTGCGGTGGCCTCGTAGAGGCTGGAGCGGAAACAACAGCCACGACAATCAACAATTGGACTCTTGCAATGACACTCTTCCCCGAAGTCATGCGAAAGGGCCAGGAAGAATTGGATCGCGTTGTTGGATCTGGCCGGCTACCGAGTTGGGACGACGAAAAGAACCTTCCGTACGTTCGAGCAATGATCAAAGAAACATTGCGATGGCGGCCTGTCAACAAGTTCGGAATGTACCATGCTTCTACCGAGGATGACTGGTATCATGGCTTTTTCATTCCCAAAGGGTCAACCGTAGTGTTGAATTGGTGGTACGTTCTGCCTATCCTTTGAAAGACTATCTGGCTGATGTGGTCATCCAATACAGGGCTATTCAACGGGACCCCAGTCGATTTGAACAGCCGGACATCTTTGAGCCTACGCGCTTTCTTGGGCATCCCCTTACAGCAGCCGAGTACATGAATGCGCCTGATCCGTATGACAGAGATCATTTCTCATACGGCGCTGGAAGGCAAGACACCCAAAACTCGGTGGTCGTCTAAACAGTCACTGACTCAAAAATACAGGAGGGCATGCCCCGGAGTCCACTTGGCAGAGAAGTCGCTCTTCATTGTCATTGCTCGTACATTGTGGGGGTTTGACATCAAAAAGAAAGTACATTCCAACGGGTCGGTGGTGATCCCAACAACAAGAATGATGCCGGGATTTCTGAGTGTTCCGGAGCCATTTCTGTGCGATATCTTGTGTCGATCCCCCGCCCATGAGGGTATCATCCGTCGACAGTACGTTGAGGCCCAGAAAGACCTTGCAGGCATGAACTTCGAATTCTGAGTGTAGTCGCATCTGTTTTATTCTTGGAATTCATTAATGGCATCACGAAAATCGTGTAAATAAGACTTCTGAGTGTTTGCACCCGTCGATCCTGAAAAGCAACAGATGTGCTGTAGGAAGCTTCAGAAAACAGACGACGTGCATTCATAATATATTTCCATCACAATGGAGGCACCCAGAAGGCGCGAATGGTGGAGATGACGACTCCTGAGCGGAAGTCCAGAGTTTTTAGCTGATAGAAAATGGATATTATTAGCTCGATAGCTGTCCGCCAATTACTCAGCTGCTGCAATGCGGGATTTTGTGCATGAATGACACTGGCAAGCCGCTTTAGTGAAGTTTGTTTGAGGAGACAATGAAAATCGCTTAAATGACTGGAAGAGAGACTTAAAGTTGTAATCTGAAATGTGAATGGCTGGCGAATCAAGCACAATGGTTATCTTAAGAGCAGGATCCTTTTTAGTACACCGCCTCATAATGAGTTAGGTCTCTTCGAGAGCAAAGAAATGCGATTATCTAGGTTTATTAATATTTAGGCTTTCAGAGAGTTCATTTGATGGCATGATCCTCAGGTTCGAATGCTCTGTACCCTTGAAACAACCCATCAGGATCCCACCGCTGTCGAATTTTCGTGAATCGTTCACGGGCCGAGTCGGTCCAAACTCTGATCTAACCAATGACGTCAATTCTCATCCCTAATGCTGGAGCTTAGTACATACCTTTGGGGAATGAAGCGACCCAGATGATTGATCGAAGTCGGCTATATACATGCCGCAAGCAACTGTGGAGGCTTTCTCATACGTTCTCTTCATCGTGTCGCGGACTTTCGGCACCAGTGCCGAATCCTTCCAGCCACTGAAGGTTGAGATGTAGTACTGCTGCGGCAGACTGAAGACGGCGTCGTTCTCGTCCGGAGTCAAAGTGTCGCACATATAAATGCAACCAAACGAGGACTTGGTGGGTAGGTCGCACATTGCAGGTTTGATGGCCCTGGCCAGCTGTAATGATCCTAGTTAGAATACTCCAGCGCAGAGTTGGGAACTTGGGTTCACTCCCTACCTCTGAAACAGATACCGATGGATCATTGAGAATACTATGTATACCCCATTTCTGTTCGTGATTATCGGGGTTGATCTGACGCTGTAGGTGAAAAAAGTCGTCCCAGGCCGTATGATTGGTAGGGTTGACTTCGATAATAGCTTTCTGAAGGTCAGCTGGCACTAAATTCCAAGCGCTCAGCAAACCTTCAGCATCGTCCAGGGAATCGGAGTAGGCCAGAACATTGATCGACAGCAATAATGGTGATGATGTGGAGAGTATCTCCTCGGCCGAGGGATTAAGCAGTTCCGGATGCATGATGCAAACGGCGGTCTCGGTGAACATTTTTGGGGTCGCCTTGTTCCGGTCGAAGGCGAACATGAGGAGTTCTTCGAAGTCATCTCCCACGTTGAAAGTAAAAGATCTGGAAAACAGCTGTCGCTTGGGGATAGTTCGACTCCAAATCTTTGTCACGACGCCGAAGAACGCCTGGCCTGCACCCCGCGCTGCCCAGAAAATGTCGGAGTGCTCGTCTCTGCTGACAAGAAGGACGCGACCGTCGGGCACGATGACTTCCAATTTCACGATCCATTCAGTGATCGTAGCCCCCCATCCTCTCATAAAGAGGCCTTGGCCGCCTGCAAGGCAAAAGCCGCCAAGTGCGACGTCAGGTGCGTGGCCGAATGGAAAAAATCGCCCAACCGCATCCGTTGCTTTCCAAGCTTCGTAGACACGGACTGCAGGACCAAAGCTGACATCATGTGTTTCGGGATCGTAATCCACCTTCCGGTTCAGTTGACTAGTATCAACGAGGATTCCCTTATCAACTAACGATGGCTTCGATGGTAGGTGACCTCCTGACCGGACGCCCACTGAGACTCCAAGGGCTCGCGCTCTGCGAAGAGCCGCAACAACCCCTTCGCTTGACGTTACGTTGTGTATCTCACTAGGATATCTGTCTGTCTCGTCCTTATTGAAGTATTGCTCCCGACTTCGTCCATACTGTGGTGTTCCCCGTGTAAATACAGAGTTTAGCGACTGAGGATCTTCCATACTGGAACAGGAATTTGAAATCGGACAGGAAAACAATGCAAAGACAAAGAATGCAAGAACAGGCTTAGAGTAAAAGTTTGAAGAATTGCCAGAGACTAAGACTGAAAATGGAACGCCTTGCCGACAGCCCGGCCAGGACACATCACCACCACTCCCATACCCCACATGAAAGATTATTGTGTACCACACTTGACCCCACATACCTCAGCAGTGCTGCTCCATCTCACAAGAGTTAGTACGATACGCCAGATCATTTCCCTACCTTATACCTACACACGCAAAGGTACAACCACGACAAGATAGCCGCTTGGAACTGATAAGGCTAAGTGACCGTAGAGTCTCGAGGCCTTGCTCACAATGCCCCAACGATGTGGCTTCGCGATGGGATCGGCGAATATGTGCTGCCATGGGCAGCTCCAGTTGTCCCTGTTAACCTGCATGTGTCTATAGAGCCTTTGCGTCGTTCCAGAATCTATTCATCCAGTCGACCATCGAATCCCTACCCATCTCAGCCGGGCGACAGCAGCAATATTAACGACGAAGGAGTGATTTATAACCAGATAGATTGGTTTAGAACCAGCCAACAACTCTGCTTCCCTTCCCTAAAGACAAGCCAGACTCCCAAACACCACCCCTCAGCCATTTAACTCAGAGACCCCGCCAACACCATATGTCTTTTCACCCTCTTGCCCCTCGCCATCCTTGGCCTCGGCGCCGCGGTACGCAGCGTGATCCCGCGCCATCACGACCAGGGCGTGCCGCTCAATCTGCATGCTCACCGCGCCGCCTGCGGCGAAGGGCCGCAGCTGGTGGGCTACAGCGTCGCCGGCGGCACCTCGTAGAACCTCGACCCAGATGATATTAAGTGCCCCGCCGAATTACCCCACTACCTCGCCAAAACCAACAACAACCCCATGTGGAATATGCCCTCCGTCTTCGACTGCATTAAGCGGACTCTCCCGCTCTTCAGCGCTGGATCCGTCATGGCCCTAGCCAAGCACGTCAACCCGCGCACCAACTCCACCGTCATTTACGCCGATCTGGCCCGGACTATCGATGGCGGTGACGGCGCTTCCGAGGAGCAGTGCAAAGCGAGCCTTCTGCGTAGCTGCGGTAGTAACAGCGGCCAGCCTGCCGTCATCGTCGGCCCCGAGGACCCGGCGTACAAGACCCCCGAGTGCATCGCCGCTAATATGAAGCCCGCCAACATCATCGTCAAGCTCGTGAGAGACCCCAGCGCCGGCTAAGGGCCGCGCAAAGGGGGCTCAGGAGACCTAGGATAGACTGCGCAAGTCTCTAGCTAGGGGGAACCAATGAGAGATATTCATATTCGCAGGCGACAATTCTTAATAGGATATTCATTGAGTAGTCCATACATTATGAAACAATCCTGCCCTTGCTGCAAACTCTTCAAAGCCACATATCGTGTGACTTGCAACATTGCCTGGTGAACGAGATCACGGCGCTGAATCCAAAGCCCTCGTGAAAACAGAACATTCCTATCGCTGCTCCTGCTGCTCGGTGCGCCTGTATCCCTCGAACAACCATCATAGCATGCCTAGCTGCTCCTGCTCGTCCTCCACCAATAGGCTCTCAGGGGAATCAGCAGCAACCAGCACCCTCTCGTTAGGGCCCAGTGTTTATTCCTCGTCGTCAACGTTCCTAGCTTGCAGGATCTGGTCCCGCTGACTCAACAGCTATAGGTGCACCGCTAACATAAAGTTATACACTGTGATGAACCCCCTAGGTGATAACACTATCACTACTAGCAGCTTAAACTTAGAGGGGAAGTCCTTAATAGGGTTTAAATTACCTATACTATCTTTCTTCCCTTCTAACTTTTCTTCTTTGCAGTTTGCCGCCTAGAGGCATACCTTATTAACTGCTGTATAACTCTAATAGGGAAATATATAGAGGGTCATAGTATAACCTCTATAGTTAACCTATAGGGTATATAAAGGGGATTTTTAAGCCACCTAGCTAAGTAGAAGCAGCCCCCTATTATACTATAGCCTAAATTTAAAGCCCTCTAAGATAAATTTTATATATACCTCCTACCTAATTAATATAGCCCTTACTACTAGTAATATTAAATATCTTAAAAAGACTAATTTACTATATATTTAATAATAGCTTAGTTATATCCTTATAGCTAAGAATAATAACGTAGTATCTCTATACCTCCTCATAATATATATTAGGCTCTTAGAAGACCTTTAGAACTAAGCTCTCTATTAAGTTAAGTAGAGATTTAAAAAGATTACTAAAAACCTAAAGGATAAGAATAATATGAGGGAGATTAATAGGATATTTAATAAGAAATATAGCGAATAGCTCTAAGAGCTAATCGCTATTATTACCCTTATCTAAGGATATAGTAGTTAAGGAGACTAGCCTAAGTTAGGGTGGAGGAAAAAAAGGGTCCTTATGTTCCCTTTAGTTATATAAGTATTTATAAAAGAATTATTTATAAAATAACCTATACTATAAATACCTATAGGTAGCTATATAAATATATTAAGTTATAAGTAGACCTAAGCTATAAGTAGATAAGTTTTATTATAGTTAGCTATTTAACAGTAAGGTTTGCTAATAGAAGCTAGAGATTAATATATTATAATAATATACTAGGGTTATAGTCTAAATTATAAGTTATAAGCTAATATTATATCTATAATAAACTAATATTAGGTTTATTAAGATGGTCAGCTAGATTAAAGTAGGCTTATAAAAGCATAAAGTAGGGTTTATTTAAAATAAAGTAGTAGAGTTTATAATGATTTTTAGCCCTAAAATAAATAAAAGTAGGATATATTAAAAGCTATAATATAGATCTAATTAGAGGTATATTTTTAAAAGTACTTAATATATATAAAAAGAGGAATAGGTTAGTTTTATATAAAGAGGAAATTAAGATATTATTAGTAATTAAATATATATAAACCTATTAAGTTAGGAAGAGTACGCTATCTAATAAATTAAATAATATATTACCTAATAGGAGAAGATAATTTAAGGGGGTAGGATATAAAAATAGGTTAAAAGTAAATAGTTTTAGAAGGTAGGTAATATTAATATTTAGTATAAGAGGAAGCTATTTAATAAGCTATTAATAGTAGAATAGATTTATTATTATTTATCCCCTAGTATAAGTTATTAGGATAGAGCTATTTATCTATAATCCTTAGTATATTATTATAATTTATAAGGTATACTAATTTACTATAGTTACTAATAAAGTATTATTATATTTAAGGATATATTACTAAGAGATCTTTATTACTAGTAGATCTTATATTATAGAGGTTATCTATAATATCTTAAGGATTATCTATACTTAAGCTAATTTAGCTATATTATAGTATCTAAACCTAAGTATACTACCTATCCTATATATTATAGTACTAAAGGTAGATAGTATATAATATATAGAGTATCTATATATATATTAGTAGTTATAAGTTATCTAAAAGTATTACTAAACTAAATATAAATAGTATAATAATTAGTAGAAGGAGGGTAATATATATAAGAGGGCTATAGTAATAAGAGATTTACTATAGATAATAAAGGTACTATATTAGTAGTTTTTCTTATTATATATTAAGAGCTAGTAGTTTAAAGTTAAGTAGAGGTTAAAGATAGCTATTTAAAATAAGCTATTAAAACTAAAGATAGATAATATAGCGTAGTTTATTATATTATATAAGAACTAAAAGAAGTAGTTTAAAGTTAATATATATAAAGAAGTTAATATAGTAGATAAAAAGTTAGAGCTAAATAAGTAGTTATATTATATTAAGTAGATAAAGGATTTAAAAAGGTTAAATAAAATATAGTTATAAGAGGTTATATAGCTAATTAAAGATAATAAGGAGATATTATAATCTATATAGGCTATATTTAATAATATTACTAATAAGGTATATATAATAGTAGTACTATATAAGGTTAGGTATAATATATTATTTAAAGTAGAGTAGAAGGAGATCAGCTAGAAGCTAGTGTAGCTATTTAATAACTATATAGAGGATAATATATAGTAGTAATATAAAGAGGTTTAGTATAAAATAGTAAGTATATAGTTCTATATAGATAAGTAGCTAGAGTATAAATAGTTACTATATTAGTTTACTATATAGTAGGGGTTATTATAGGATATACTTACTAGCTATATTAAAATAGATATTAGTAGTAAGTAGGTTATATAGATAGAGGAGGTTAAAGAGGTTAAGAGAATATATTTAGATACTATTATTACTATTATTAAGGACCTATATAAGTAGAGCTAGAAAGAGAGCGTAATAATTAGTATATTAGTAGTATTAAGTATCTATAAAGATAGTAGTTAGTACTAAGTAATAGAGTATATAACAAATTATTCAGCTATAATTAAAGTAGCTAAGATATTTATTATATACTAAGTATAGTTAGAGTAATGTTACGGTCAGCTATCCGACAGTAGGGTCTGCTAACAGAAGCTGGGGATTGACACGTTATAACAGTACACTAAGGTCGTAGTCTGAGTCGTAGGTTATAGGCTATAGTAGATCAGGTCTTTCAGAGACTAAAGTGATCAGTCTTAGGCTCAACAAGTGATTCGCAGTAAAAGTAAGCTAAGAGTATCCATAAGGATAAATACTAAGTTAATTACTAAAGAGCTATAGAAGTCTAACCATAAGCCAGGCTCAGGGTCGTCTTATATACAGGTCCCTTACACAAACAGTCCTACTATTCATAAGCGCTATTTCCTTATTATCATAAGCGCTCATTCTAAAGTAGGATAAGTGCTCATTCTAATATCCACTAAGTGCTCATTATAGGTCCCTTATCTATACTTATTCCTTATTATCACATAACTTATACCATAATTCTTCTATTCCTAAGTAAGTCCCTATTATTCCTATAATCCTATAGTACAAATATTCTATCCTAGCTATCTATTACCTAAGTAAGTCAGTCAACTATTATCCATACATAACAGGTCGTAACATTAGGTCCCCTCTCTAAAGGTCTTATCCTCAAGACCTATTATAAATAGGTTATTAGTCCTAGGTTGGAGATCTATTAATCATACTTCCTAATTTTCCCATAATACTAACACCATATCAGGTCGCATTCAGAAACCAAAATCTTCAGGTACTTTAACTTATCGTCATTTATTTTAGATTCTTCAATTTATTAATAAGGGTATTAAGAACAATATACCTTATTTAAATTATCATTCGCACAGTATGTAATATTTACTTCTTCCAGATTCTAATATCTATAAGACTTACTATCGTTTAGATATCCCATACAATACTTCCAAGGATACAATCTATACCCATAGGTTTTTTTTTAGTAGCAATATAATTTCTTTTACTAACTTCAGAAGGTAGTGAATCGCTTAGTAGCAGAGTCTAATCGTCTAAACCAGGCAGAAGTAGCAGAGGAGGCAAAATTTCACAAGAGGGCTACCATCTTACAGCAAAAAGCTAAGGCTTACCAAAAAGCTCAGTCAGAGTTAAACAAATCGTTAGCAAAGTTAGAGCGTTTACAAAAGCAGAAACAAATAATATTTAGGAAGGGTAAAGCAGCTATAGCTAAGTCTTCAGAAGATATATCAAATTCCTCGTTAGAGGCATAATTAATAGGTGCTTAAGGTGTTTTAAATATAGATACTTTATTTAACTAGAATCCTATTACTCTAAATTTCTTATCAGGGGAGTCTTAGTCATATTTTAGTATTCCTAGTTAAATAGATATATTTTCTTATTATGTTAGTCTAAGGTATCCTCTTAGTCATGCTTATACTAATAGGAGTTATATTCTTTATTTCTTAGCTTCTCTTTATTTCTATTATATCTCTTCTTATATTTATCTTTCTCTTTCGTTAGCGTATTTTACGTATTCCTTAAATTCTTTTAGGGTTATAGGGGGGCTTAGTCTATCCCTAGGATTAATATAATTAAGCGTTCTGATATACTTATTAATCTTATCTCAACAGTTAAGTAGGTTATTATCTAGTTCCTATATATTATCTTTATATCTATAGTTTTTCTATTTAATAAGGTATTCCTATTTATTATCTCTATACTAGTAGTTAAATAGCTTTTCTACTTTATACTCTAGTTTATTATCTTCTATAATAATAAGGTCGTTCGTTTATAATCCTTATAGTGCTAGCTTAAGAAGTGAAATATAGAATACTAGGTGACACTTTATAGTTTCTAGGAGTTTAAGCTCATAGTTAACTAGTGAGATA